CTGGCCGCTCGCCAGCGCGGGGGGCGCCCGTAAGTCAGCCCGCCTGCTTTCGGATACCTCTTCCGCCCCCTGGTCTTGTTAACCAGATCCTCCTCCGAACAAATGCTACGTGGGATTTGGTGCAGACATCATGTGAACGAATCTCCGTCAAAACAGTGCGCTATTTTACATTAATTTAGAAATCCTGGAATTTCAGTGATTTGAGTTTACCTTGTCCTGGACGGTTTACCATCAATTTTAGCCATTTTCTGGCCTGGCCTGGAGACTGCGGACCGATACCGCGCGTCGTTTTCGTCGCTCTGTCTCTCTCCCACTCACGGAGCGTGCCGTTTGGGTGCGAGAGAGACAGAGCGACACACCTGATGGAGGCGAACGCGGCTCCACCCGCATCGAGTGCCTCCCCCTCCCCCTCTTTTGGTGGCAATGTCACAATTGTTATTTTGGCTGTCGTTCTTTGGAGGCGAGCCAGGAAGCAAAGGCCAGCGAGTAGTCGAATTGTAACATTAGCGTCGTGTGTGTGTGTGTGTGTGTGTGTGTGTGTGTGTGGTGTGTGTGAGTTTGAGCGTGTGTGGCCCCTGAGCAAGCCGCCCCTCTGTCTTCCCCGAGCGCACCTTGGCCTGGCCATCGTGTTGTGGGGTCTCCCTGTCTCGCGTCGTGGGGGTGACGAATCCCGAAAGCAGCCCCTTCTGTCAGAGAGAGAGAGAGAGAGTAAGGCACTTTATTATTTTTCATTTGCCCCTCCAGTAGCCGCATGGACGACCGCAGAAACGCAACTCGCATGCGAGCCCGAAAAAACTCAGTGCCACTCAATTTAAAATTTGGAACGGTGACGAGCGACCTCGACGAGTTTGCCGATCGTAAACCGGAAGCAGGCTGACAGTGTAGGGGCCGCGACTCTCTGATGGCAGTGGAGTGGAGTGGAGTGACTCTATCGGCTGCGGCCATCACGACCACGTCACCACAATGTAACAAATTTTTCCTGCAAAAATTTGTGAGTGAGAATTTGTAAAAATGATGGCTCTTTGCGCCACTTGACTAAGTATCACTTTCCAGGGGGGGGGGGCTACCGTACATGGTCTCCATGCCCGCCGGTCCAGATGCCGGCCGTTAAGTCGATATTACCGCTCACGTTGTCTCAATGAAAAGGAATGAGTTGTAAACGAAGACGGCGAGAGCGGCGCTGCCGTCTAACAACAGGCGCTAACGGACCGTCCCTCTCTCTCTCTTTCTCTTTCGCTCCGTGTGAGGTGTTGCAAGCCTTCAATATCCTCGCCACACCGCGATTTACCGGCGATTTATACTTTGACAATCTTCCGACTTCTTCGATATTTCTCTTCCCAATTCTGGCACTGTTCTTTCCTTGCCTCTGGGACTTCCCCGCTGCACGGCACCCGACAACGTCTTTTTTTTTCGAGCCAAGAAAATGTGTTAATTGTATCACAGGAATTTGCTTGAAACATGCGAGTCGATTCACTTGGCGCAAGTGTAATACCTTATTTCGAAACAAACTTTTTTTTGGCAGCCCGGACATTGCCTTGCCTTCCCGCCTGCAGCCCTGCAGTATCGCAGGCCGCTCGCTCCGCTCCGCTCGCTCCGCCCTCTCAGGGGCTGTCCGGTCAGATTGCATTATGGAAGGCAGTGATCGATGCTCCGCCTTCCATAAAACACCGCGGACGCCGCCAGGCTGGCCAGGCCGGCGCGAGGGGCCGCTGGAGAATGGAGTGGTCACTCTGGTGGTCAGTGTCACGCTCCCCATTCCCGACGGGGCGTTTTGGAACGCGCCGCGCCAGTCTGATGATGACGCCTCTCTGCCGCGCCGCCCCGAGTGCGAGAGAGACGGAGCGGCCCTCGCCGGGACGCGCTCCAGCGCCAGAAGGACGCGATGATACCAGCGTTCGATTTGTCCGCCAACAATGCCGCGTTGTTTGACAATGAAAAGGCGCGATTGGCTTTTGGGAGGGGGGGGGGGCGCTGGCAGCGCAAGATTACATTGTAGTCGCCTGGGCCAGCCAGCCAGCCCGCAGCGCCAGCAGCCAGGCGGCATTATCTCCCGTAATTTCGTACATGTAACCCCTAACCCCGTCGGCATCACAGTGCTGTGCACTCTCTGCGTTGTGCACTGTTAATTGTTTTCCTCTATCATCCCCCACCCCCTCAAAAAAATGTTTGGCTGCGGCGCACGTCCACTGTTGTGTGGAAACAAACCGCACTGACAGGCGGCAGGGCGCAGCGCGCGGCCTCGCACAGTGGGTCAGAAGACCGGTGGAGGCGGCCGAGACTCTTGGCGTGTTTTGAGCTCCAGAGCCGAACGTGTGACCCCGCCAATGGATTCCTCGTTCGGAGAGCAATCCATTGGTGGGGTCACACGTTCGGTTCGAGTCCCATTTAGCGACTCTGGAGCTCAAAACAGTCTCGGCCGCCTCCACTGCCATACACTGTGCCTCGAAGTGGCAACACAGCAGACTGATTCCGAGAGTCTTTTTCGTCGCTCTGTCTCTGTCTCACCTGGACGGGACGCCCCAGGAGTGCGAGAGAGACGGCGCGACGAAAGCGACTCTCTGTCTGCGCAGGCTCCCACGGCCGCGAGCCGCAACGCCGCGCACTGTGGACAGCGGCTGTCACTTGGAATCACTTTGAATGGCGCGTGTTCGAATACCGGACAGCCTTGTCTCCGCCACTCATTACTTCGTTATTATCTTTGGGCCTTTCAGTGCAACTTCCGCACCTGTCTGCATGCCCTCTGGTGTGTCTGTGTACGTGTGTGTGTGTGTGTGTGTCTGTTTAGAGAAGTGTTTGTGTGTAGGTGTGTTTGAGAAAAAGGGGGGTGGGTGTAGGTATCGACCCTTACGTCTGTTAGGGGCGGGGCATCAAGGCTACTGTCAATAATTAAGCAAGTCGCCATAAGACGACCCATAAGACAACCACTCATCAAAAAGACCTCGCACACCCCACCAAATAAAAAGTATCGAACAGTTTTCTCGCTCGTAGCAAGGCGACAATAGGCATTGGTCGTGCTTTGCGTCGAAGGGACCCCCAACGGGTAGGCAGCCCCAGATGCAAGCGGTGACTTCATCCTCTCAACTCTTTTTCCCGCTTTTCCAATACCCGTCCCTCTGTCCCTGCTCTAACACACTCTCACTGGCTGTTGTTCCGGAGGTGCGAACGTGAAGCACTGCGGTGCTATGCTAGCCCTTTCTCTCTCTGTCTCCCTCTCCCCACCGAGGGTCGCCCCGCCACGCCACTGCTTTCTGCTTGTTGCTCGCAGCGACTCCACTTGTCATATCAATTTGATTGCACGGGGTGCGCCTTAATGAACCACCTAATGACTCGGCTGTGTCGGGCCGTCCGCGCGCGTTCTAGTCGTTCTGGCACTCGCCTCGTACTAGAGGGCGGGGAAGGGGGTGGTGAGGAAACTTGAACTTGGTTCGGCGGTGCACAGTGGGCCAGAAGACCGGCGGAGGCGGCCAAAATTCTATGCGCGTTTTGAGCTCCAGAGTCGCTAAACAGGGCTCGAACCGAGCGTGTGACCCCACCAATGGATTCCTCGTTCGGAGAGCAATCCATTAGGGGGGGTCGCACGTTCGGTTCGAGTCCCATTTAGCGACTCTGGAGCTCCGAACGCGTCTAGAGGTCATTTCTGGTCACCCTTTTGTCTCCTTCTCCTTCTTGTCGGTGCCGGCGGCGTGCGATGCGAGGCACGCGTTGTGCCCCTCCCTACAGGTATGCGCGTAGCTTCCGCCGACCCACTGTGACAGTGCTGCCGCTCTCGCACCCGGAGCGACCCGGCGTTTTCGTCGCCGTCTCTCTCGCACTCGCGCGGCGCCCCGTAAGGGTGCGAGAGAGACGGGGCGATGCGCGGAGACGGAAGCCTCGCCCATTTCGCGTCTGGGTGACGAGGCGCCGCGGCCCACACCGCCACCGGCGCACGTGCGCGTGTGTGTGTGCATAGGTGTTTCATGTTGACTTTGGCACCGGTGAACGTGCAGGGCCGGCCTTGTTCCGAATGGAAAGGAAGTGACATTTTCGGCTGCGTTTCTCCACCACTTTTTGGTTTGTTTGTTTTTAGATGTTATTTGTGTACTACGAGGCTTGGGTTTTCAAGTGTGCACAGTGTGGCCTGTCGGTCGGGCCACACCCTTCTGACCTGTAGTGTACAGCATCGCACGCACGAAACCTCAGGAAGCCTGCGAAGTCCTCGTCCGTGTGGCTGACACTTCCCCCTCCCCTCTTTTTCTCCCTCATCGTTGAATCTCGTATTTCGTGGCAAAGTCCAGCGCTCAACCGCGGAACCAAAAAAAAATGAACAAATTGTTGGCTTTGGTTTTTGGGTACGAGTTAACGCCAGTGGCGGTAAGCTACGATGCCCGTGTGTACAGCCGAACGAGTCGTTTCGTCGCTCGGTCTCTCTCGCACTCATGGGGCTGTCCGTGAGGGTGCGAGGGAGACAAACCGCTCTGCTGAATCGCTCGGCAGTGCCGAGTGTGGTGGCTCCGCCGGTCAAGAGAAGCCTGCGAAAAACCAAGGCCACACACAAGCACCCCCGCGTACGTTGGCAGACACACAGACACGCTGACACGGACAGGGTCAACCCCCAAATCCTCAAGCTTGCCGCTCAGAGGGGCAGGGACGCGCAGGGAGCGCCCGTCAGGCAGGCACGCCGCGCGCAGCCGTGCCGGTTTGGTTGCCTACCCACCGGGCGCTCCCCAGCCGACTCAGCAGAGAGAGGGAGAGGGGGAGAGAGGGGGGAGGGAGAGATAGACTCCGTGCTGTGGAGGGGCTGGTTTAGGGATGCGACAGGGCTGTCCTCCGGCAGCCCCGGAGCGAAGGGGACGAGCGGTCACGCGATGCTAATGTTCAAACCCCGTGATTGATTGGTTCATTGATTGATTGATTGATTGATTGATTGATTGATTGATTGATTGATTGATTGATTGATTGATTTAGCTGTTGGTTGGTTGGTTGACGTTTGCTGACCGGTTTGCTTGGTTTTTCTGTTGCAGAGAGAAAGTTGTTCGTGGGCATGCTGTCCAAGAAGTGCTCCGAGAACGATGTGAGACAACTGTTCGGCCAGTTCGGCGCCATCGAGGAGTGCACCGTGTTGCGGGACACCAACAACCAAAGCAAAGGTGAGGTCGTCACGGCGTTTGCCCTGAAATCGAATGCCTCAGCTTTGAATCCGTATCGACGAGGCTTTCAGCCGTCACCGTTTCGGAGTTAAAAACGTCTGAAGTCTGAAGGTGGGATTCGTTGAGTTAGCACTCCCCCCAGCCCGGCCCCTCCCTTCCCCTCCTCCCCGCGCGCGTCCAGGATTAGCGGGGGCCTGCAGTCTCAACAGTGCTCCGTCTCTCTCGCACCCTGCGGGACGCCCCTCGAGTGCGAGAGAGACAGAGGGACGAAAGCAGCCTGCCGCTGGCCCGGCGGGGGTCTGTTACTGTTAGCGGTGGGGCTCGAATTGATTCCTGGGCCACAGCACCAGGCACACCAGGCACACACTGCAAGACGAGGGCCATTTCCATCGCTCTGTCTCTCTCGGATCCTTAGGGAACGCCCCATGAGTGCGAGAGAGACAGAGCGACGAAGACGGCTCTCGGAATCAGGCTGCAGGCGCAGCACCGCAGCTGCTTTCAAGTCTCCTTGTTCCCCGGCGGCCGCGCGCCTCGTCTCGCCTTCGAGCGGTTCTCCTTCTTTTTCCATTTCTCTTCTCTTTTTTTGTTGCCGAAATTGCTGCGGTTAGTGGTGGAGCCTATCGCCTCTTTCTTTCGGGCTGGAGGCAAGCAGGGACGGAGTGCCTACTTGACGAAAATACCAACTTCCGGCTCCATCACTTTTAACTGGCGCGAGCGCTTAGCAACGTTTCGCGGAGGACAAGATATCGGCATGCAAGTTCTCAATTTCGTTATTCTAGACCCAACGACACCTGCAATTCCTCATTTTCGAATTATTGAACACTACGCGGAAGTTATTTGTTTGGTTGGCGCTCTTCGGAGGGAAGTCCCAGGCGCGGCGGGCGGCGCGCGCGTACGGATATGACTGACCCACATTATTGTACGGTGGCTGTCGTCGCTTCGTCTCGGTCTGGCGTTCTGTCATCATTTCTGGTGGGGTGCCGTGGCGTGTCGAGGCGCGGCACGGCACGGTGCGACGTCGGCCGACGTCGGCGCGGTGTCCGCGGCCGCGCGGCTCTGGGGGGCCTCGGGCCTCGGGCCTCGGGCAGGCCGTGCCGGCTGCGCGCTCCGTGTGCTCCGCTTGCAAGGCGAAGTGCAGAGGCATTCATTTTCTGCCAGCTGTAACTGAACACTCGTCGGATGGGGCACCGCCGGGCCTCTGAGCTGGCCGGCTGGCCTAGGCCGGCCGGGGCCCCGTCGAGGTTCGCCTAGGGCTGCGTTGCGAAACCAACTCGTGAGGCCCCCGCCGACGGCAACCTTGCGACAGGCGGGACGGTCACCGGCGGAGTCGCGGACGCAGCCCTAGCACCCCGGACGCGGGGAAGGGGAGGGGCGGGGAGGGGGGCGTAGCCGTGCCGGTGCGAGCGAGACAGACTGCCGCACTGCCGTGTGTGTCGAGCAGTGTCTAGGGGCCTAGGCCAGCCCGTCAGCCCGTCCCCGCGTAGTTTGTGCCAGCGCGAATGTGCGGCGCGTCTTCGCCAGGCTTCGCGCTTCGCCCTGCAGGTCTCCGAGTCCCTGGTGCCGAACGCCCTCCCGCCGCACGGTGGGCCGAAATCCCGGACGCGTTTTGAGCTCCAGAGTCGCTAAATGGGACTCGAACGACCGCCACCCCACTAATGGATTGCTCCCCGAACAAGGAACCCGTTGGTGGGGTCACACGTTCGGTTCGAGTCCGGTTTAGCGACTCAGGAGCTCAAAACGCGTCTTGAATTTTGACCGCCTCCACCGGTCTTCTGGCCCACTGTGCGCCGCGCCGCCGTGGGCGAGGACTCCGCCGACCGCGTACGTCGCCCCTCCGTCACGCCGTGTCATTCTCCTGTTGCAGGTTGCGCCTTCGTCACCTACACGTCCAAGCAGTGCGCCGTGAACGCCATCAAGGCGATGCACCACTCGCAGACCATGGAGGTGAGTGAGGTAAATTACCACCGTCGAACCATTTCCCTTTTACCACTTTTGACCTCGGTCTTGTTTAGAAAGCGACGAGACGTTGTTGTTACTCGGAGGCAAGGCGGAACCGTGAGCGCACAACCAACAGCAGACCGATCTTCAAATAATCGTTTCGTCGCTCCGTCTCTGTCGCACTTGCGGGGCGATCCGTCGAGAGAGACAGAACGACGGAACGATCCTTGGAAATGGCGCGTCTGAACCTGCCCGGCCCGACTGGCTCACACCAGCTCGCACTCACTCCCGCGCCTGGCTTTCGGTTCGCCCCGCCCGACCAATCAGAGGCCCGGCCGGCAGGAGTCAAAATCTGCTTCTACGCACCTTCGCGCACTGCTGCAGCTAGAGCCGCTGCTGGCGCTGGCCGCTGCGAGCGATAGCCGATAGCGGTCGTAAGGCGACGGCCGAGCCGTGCGTGACTCCTCACTTCACTCGCAGTCGCAGCCAAGCCGTAAACAAACTCAGCGTGTTCGCCTTCGCCTGCACGTGTTTCACCTTCCCCATCTTCCTCCCATGGAAATCGCGTGGAAGGTTGAAACGAGTGCGAGCGTGGCCACGGTTCCGCTGTCCCGAGTAAATGTCTCCGAAGTTTCTTTCCGTTTCTTGCGACACGTTGACACGTCTTTCCGTGCCGACAGTGCGGCAGCGTGGTGCGTGCTGCCTCCAAAGTGCTGTAACGTCATGCCCTCTCGATGATTTCAGGGCTGCTCTTCACCGCTTGTTGTCAAGTTCGCTGATACCCAAAAGGAGAAAGATCAGAAGAGACTTCAGCAGATGCAAGCCAATTTGTATAACTTAGCAGGGGTTAACATGGGACCACAATACCTGACTGTGAGTAATTTTCTTTTCAGCCTTCAATTTTTTTAACAAAATGGTTTTTGAGGAAACTGAAAACGCTTTTTCAACGTCAACATCAACGGGATACTTTAGGATTTTTTGTACTTTTTTTATTTGCAGGGGGAATCCCATTCAGTGTTGGCACCTTCATCCTTACAACTTCTTCAACAGTTGCAAACCAATGCACAGGGTCAAATGTCCCCTCTCTCACTTGGCACGTCTCTTCAGCAGCAGTTGCTTATGCAGCAGCAACTTCAATCACCAGGTACAGTCACTGCAGTTTCATTCAAAAATTTCTTATTCAACAGTTTATTCTGATTTTTTAATTTTTAAATGTTTATTGTTTCAGGACTGCACAGTTTAGCTGCTCTTCAAAACTCAACAGGATTGGGTTTGACAGGGTCTTCGCCAAGCGGAGCAAGCGACATGACCCAGGCGAATCTGCAGAACCTTGCAACCTTAGCTAATTTATCCGTCAGTCCTGGTAAGGCACAAATTATCTCTCATTTCCCCCACCCCCTTGTCAAATTTTTACATGTTTAACTATGTCACTAATTAATATTCGATTGGCTAGGTGTTAATCCGATGAGCATGCAGAATCTTGTTACATTGGCAGCGATGACTAGTGGGAGCAATCCCAGTTTGCAAGTTTCACCAACAGGTAGGCAATTTGTTGCCCACTTTTTATATTTCTAGAATATTTATTACATTCATTTATTACAAAACTCATGATTGAGAAATTTAAGGCCTTTTGATAAATTTGAAATGACTGAGGTTTCATTTCACCCTCGACCCATCCAGAAATTTAATGTCGTACATCTGTTGTCTACAAGAGTATTTTTAACTTGCAAACAATTCACTGTTCCTCCAACTGCTTGTCTTAATAAACTGGCCATGACATCTAACATTCCCATTTAATTCTGTATTTGGGATAAACAAATGTTTAATAACGTAAATTTTTTTAAATCTTTGTTGTATAGGATCCAGTGCTTCTGGACTAAGTAGCCCAGGTTGGTTCCCTTTTGTCAGTTATTTCTGAATAGTTTCTGGCTTTGGAAAGTATGAGCACTTGCCAAGAGAATTGTTTCCATTCCCTTTGGTGGCGAGCTTTTTTCTATCTTTGGTGACTGATTTGTTCTTGCATGTTTTGGTAGATTTTGCTAGGTGTTACTTTCGTGCAGCCCAGCAGTTCTTTTGTGATGAACTAGTCTTTGTTCACACCTTTCATTATTCATAAAACTAAAATGTGAATTAGTTTAATGGGAAATAGCACATACATTGTTTTCAAGCATTTAAATTTGGATAAATAGGGGAGCATTGAAGCATCATTTTATTAATATTTATTTGACATTTTCCCTTTTTTCCTGTAATAGCATTAATTTGTATGTATTAAGATATCCCTCATCCTTCATCGTTCTTCCTCTTAGCTACTTGGATGCACTGGGTCCCCGTTCAGAGGGGCATGCCTTATTACTCTACCTACTTGTGGCACCCGTAACAGTTTCAGTCAGCATAACGGCACGTAGCGGACATTTATTTTCAAACATCTTTTTTCCCCGTGAATCGAAATGGTTTATTGCATGCAACAAGTGACTTGTTCCATGTGTCCTCTTTTGCTTAATTTAAGTTGTGTGCTAGCCAAGTGTGATGTGTTTGTGTGCTTTTAACACATTCTTGTAGTTATTGACCGGTAGATGGTAGATGCCAATGTGGATCTTGGCTCATGTAGTAGTTAAAGGTTTACATTTTATTGTTTTATTTTGTAATGATCTTGATTTTCCTTATAACTACTCACAAATTTCAAAAAAAGTTATTTTTGGATCACCATAATGGGAACTTGGTTGAATCAACCTATTCAAACTATTGCCCTAAAATTGTATATATGAGAACTGTACCTATGATCAGTCAACCTGCCTCAGTAGTTTGTATCATTTAACTTCAATATGATCTCTGGAGGCAGTTCTGGGTCATGGGTTTGTTTTCATAGGAGCATGTTGTTTCTCTGTTTCAGCTCTGTCCAGTCTCACAAACTCGTCTGCAGGTGTGTGTACGTGTCTGGAATATCACTTCCATAAGTTTTACAAGTTTACCTTTTCATTTCATGTGGTTTGATATGAGTTAAATGTGAGCTAGGGCACTGTTTTGAGCATACATTTTATTGCTCCAAGAAAATTCACAAATTCACTCAGATTTAAGTTTAGTATCAGAACTAAAGTGAATCAGCAGTTGAAACCTGGAACTATGACACATCCATATTTTTTTTCCTTATTAAAAACATGGCTAAAAATAACTTTCTGTTTTGTTAACTTAGATTTTTTATCATTTCTCTCCTAGTAGTAATTGAATTAAATGAGTTCTGGTACTGTTTTCTATCCTTCATTTTATTTAATGTTCACGTATCTTACCTTTATTGTAATTGCATGAAGATTTGCCTTATGTATGTGGCACAGCTTTAGTCTTTGCATGGAATAAAATTAACTGGTGTGCTTTTCGTTGTCTTAGTATATGTTGCATCTATTGCATACCCTAAGGTACTGTTCTGAAATGAACTCCAGCTCTCAGGCTGAAACTATATACATGTGCAGATTTTATTTTCAATGAGTGTTGAACTTGACAACCTCAAAAAAAATAGTGTCTCCTGAAATTATTTTCTTGAGTCTGGTCCAATTTTTATATCTAGGATTTCTCAATGTCCAGCTTTGTTGTAATCGTAATTGAATTTGTACCTTTTATGTTTTTCAGGGTCACTAACTGGGACTTCTGGAGGAAGTTCAATGAGTCCAGTCACCAGCCTGGGTCTTACTGGGTCACCTTTAAGTTCAATGGCTTCACTGAACAGTCTGAATGCCATGACAAATGGCTCAGGGCTTGATTCAATAACTTCTGCATACCAGCAATATGCAGGTGAGTTCTTCTCTTTAGTTTCAGCTCTCTGTCAACTGAGTTTACTTTCACTATTCGTTCCCATTTATTTGCTGTGTCCAACGCCCTTGTCGTCCCACTGTGTGCGTTCACTAGAAATTTGCACTTTGTGAAAAATCTTTTTGGGGGCAGCTAAAACTCTGCTTACACAACCCCTTGAAACAAGATTATATTTTATTTGCCATCAATTATTTGTCAATACTAAGTTTAGGGTGTGATAAGAGCCACCCTTTCATGCACTTTTTTTGTATAAACGCAATTGTTTTGTTTCATTGGATGGTTTCCTTGTTTTATTTTTATTTTTGTTGATTTTGCTTTGTTTCTTTTTTTTTTCTCCTCGCTTGTACCAACAGATATGCTGGTATCTCCAAACGGCTTCTCTCAATTTGGTACAAGTAGTTTGGGCTCTGGCAGCACAACAGGAACTGGCAGTGTAGCAGCTTGTTCTTCCTCAGGAAAACAAATCATGGGACCAGAAGGAGCCAACTTGTTTATTTACCACCTTCCGAACGAATTCACCGATACCGACCTGGTACAGGCATTTTTGCCATTTGGCAATGTTATATCCGCAAAGGTATACATTGACCTAGATACTCACAAATCGAAATGCTTTGGTAAGACTTAAGTTGTAAAACTAAATGTATTTTGTAATTTTGTCAGAATATTCTGTTGTGTTAATTTGTTTCTTTTTTTATTTTGTCAGGCTTTGTTTCGTACGACAACCCTGTGAGTGCTCAAGCAGCGATATCAAACATGCATGGATTCCAGATTGGTGCCAAAAGATTGAAAGTCCAACATAAACGCAAGAAGGACAACAACAAGCCCTACTAGGATCCTTCTTACCAAAGGTATTAAGCTACCCTTTCGCCTTTCAATTTTGCCTGATGGCTGCTAGTTTGTTAGTTTTGCATTTCCAAGATGTGTATATGCAACAAGCTTACATTGTTCTTTCTTTCGAGTCTGGATGGAGTGGATGAAAATAATCGGCATTGACTTTTTATTTAACTTATGCATTATTGCATTGCATTCTTTGCCGACTGCAAAAGCATTTCTATTTAGCCCTGCACAGTTTAACTCGTTGTCTAAATCATTCTTGAAAAAGAAAACTTGTTTGCAAGATATTTGTCTTCAGTGTTAGTCTCAATGATGGAGTAAGAATGGATTAGGAATTGTATAGAACCAGTCAATGTTCTATGGTAATTCCATTTTTCCATTGTGGTATGTTGGCTTAGTGCTATGAGCCACCAAGCTGTTATGTTTTAACAATAATTTTAACCTGTCTCTGTGATATTACCTGTATTAAGGGATAAGTGCAAATTGGACAATCCACTGTGATATTCATGAAGTTGTCATCTTCTTATTGTTGATGCATTGCTCATCTAGTCAATGATACCTTAAACATAACACTCTGTAAGTTATTGACACACAATGAAATGTGTGCTGTGAAGGTAACTGTTCCATTTTTAGGTCTTGAATTTAAAGTTAGCAATAAGGACATCCATTTGGTATAAGTCAACCTTAACGTGCAAGCCTTGGAATTTTCTTACCAAAAGTGCTTGGTGTCTTCCCTGACATACAAGCTCTAGGCTTAAGGGCAAACTCTCAGAGTTTGCAGCTCTTAATTTTTTGTGCATATTTCACTTTATTATATTTAAAGTGCACATCTTTCCAGTTTGGCAGCATTGCATCCACGGCTTTGCCAAGCATGTTCTCATAATCAAATTGCTCAAAATAATGATTTCTATGAGCTATTGAGACTTTTAATTTCTATTCATTAAATTTTTCTAGTCTCCCATCTTTATACATAAGAGAAGGACGTCCATTTCTCTATTGCTTAAACTTTTGCTTAAATTGTGTTCCTTTCTTTGCACCAAAGAGGCCTAATATATTTGTTATGACTTCCCAATTTCTGTTTTCTTCTTATTTGTTTCAATGTTGTCTTGTGTTGTGTATTGCATGTTGGACTGCACTCCGCACTTATTTGTTTGCAAACAAATATCAATTTGGTGCAAAGCTAAAGCACCAACTTAAAATAATGTTTAAAAGAAACTAAACACCCGATCCCCCTGTAGATCAAAACATTGCCGCTCATGTGGATCTTGATTGTTTTTATTATTCTCAATGTGCCAAGAAGGTTGGTCAATGTGTTTCAAAGTAACTGCTGTGATATTTCAAAATCAATTTGCATTTCATTAGTCTTATTGCTCATGAAGACAATATTACCTCCTCTTCTTTCTTCTGTAACCCTCAATTTATGTGAACTTGAATTGGACAACAGTCAAGATTTTCAGGAGTTAATTCTGTGCTTTTGGCTGACTCAAATGCTTTACAGTTGCAGTTCCCTGATTTCATCTGTGTTAGGATGACACTTTGTGTTCTAAAAGAATTTCTCCCGCATGCCTTCTAGGTTTGAAGAGCACACAAAGCTGAGCCTGAAATGTGTGCAGTCCACTTCTACCATCCAATTGACAGATGCAAACTGTTCTTAAACTTAAACATTTGCTGCAGCATTTCGCCTTTCAAAGCATTTTGCCTTTTTGCAGAGACCTATCTGTGATTTTCTTTCTTTTTTTTTTCAAAGAGAATTTCATTTTTTTAAGACTGCTTACCATAATTTACTCGTGTCTAAGTTGAATTTGCCAAGCTTTCGTTGTTTCATGAAAATCTGTTCATTCTTGTTGTACAGTATATTGGAACTCATGCGTTTAATATGAACAGCCTGCATCTCTCAAACATCCCTTTTCTTCTAGATATCTAGTCACAATACTTCTTTGCTCATGTGTGTGTGTGTGTGTGTGTGTGTATGTGTGTTTTTTGTGTTGTTGACATAGATGCTATGTCAGGTGGTTGGTCCTTGAAAGAATAAATTTTTCCAGTAGTTTTCATTTATTGAGGAGCTGCATGTTTGTTTTTATGATGGTTTCGTTATTTTTGTTCATTGTTTGTCATTGTAAGGGCTGAATGTTTCAATAATTCATTTCTTTATTAAAATTGTTGTTTTCCCACTATGCATACATTTTGTGTGCGTTATGAAGCATGAGATTAAATTATCCAAATGTTGGAATATTTTTCTTAGAAGGACCAAAGCCGCAACACTGAAATATTAGCTTTTCTTTTGCATGAAAGGGTGTATTTTCTGAAAGTTCGCAATGAGGTTGTTTCAAAATTTTCCAAATTTTTCTCTTACTACCTTAATTTATTTTTTTCAGCATGAATTCCATGGAGGGCAAAGAGAAATTAACTCAGCGACATACTAATTCTATTTCTTTGAGTTTCACTTTTTAAAAGCTTTGTTGAAGGAGAATTTTGGAGCTGAAGTTTTAATTTTATTTGTGTTTTCTATTAATATGGTATGACGTTTGACAGTGAGTCATGCATTTATTCACATTTCACGTACAGGTATGAAAAAATTGAAGGGATGAATGAAAATTCAATATTTTGGCATGTGTGGTTGTGTTTGTTACTCATTCCCATGAGGATAAATTGGTTGATTGAATGTATGGATAGGTGGAGTGACTGAAAGTGTGTATGGCTATTTCTTTGTTCTGAAGCAAGTGAGATTGGTGTATGTAGGTGTGCCTGTATGTACTTTGTGTGTGTGGTGTGTGCGTGTGTCTATGTATGTATTGTGTATCTTTATGTCCGTGAGGAACCATTCACACTGAACTCTCGTTTAACTTTTTATGGGTGTTTGTATTCATCCACAGTTTGTTTCCTCACGTATTGTATTATATGTTTTAACACTGGTGGCATTGTGCGTGGGTTGTTTGTTATAGCTGCCGTGAGCTGTGGACCATCCCTATCAAAATAACACAAGCGTTCCTTCGTTCGCTCACGCCTCTGTTCGCTCGCTAACCATGGTGTACGTACGTAAGTGTGCGTTTGCTTATTCGGTCAATCATTTCTGCAAAACAAGAAATAGGCAAACACAAATTGCAGCAAAAGTGTGGACTTTACCTCCTACATGCTGTTTGGAACTGAAATTGTACATATGAAAAAGTTAAAGAAATTTATTCTATCTATTTTTCATTGAGAAAGATTTTTGTTTAGTTTTAAGTTCTAATCCTGTTAAGATTTCACATAAACAAATTTGACTGAAATGTTTGTACTTTGAAATAGTTGTCGCCTTTTTACATTGACTCAGAGATGTCAGGCCTGTAGCCAAGTTAAATGTTAGTGTAACACTGTAAAGTGACTCCCCACCAAACACTTGCTAATTCCATTGTTTGCTCAGTTAGGTCTTGGGAAGTAATGATTGAGTATGCCAAAGTTTGTTTCACTGGATTCCACTGCTCCTGCTTCTTGCTATCTTGATTTTGAGTAAATTTTCCTCAAGTCTGCCACAATTTCCTTTTAGTTTCTCCGTTGTGTCTATACAAAACACGGATGTTTGTAATTTTCTTGGTTTGCTGCGCTTTACTTCTTTATAGCCCATGTATTTTTTGTGTTCTTTTCTTTTTTTGAATATGTACTTCTGTAGTCATTTTTTTCTCTTTTTGAGTGGTCTGTCACGCCTATGGTACAAGTGTGGCAGCAGGTTACGGATTTCCAGTTTCCTTTCCTTTCTTTATCCTTTGTTGTTGAAGTGTGAAGAGTCAATATTATTGGTAATGTAGTCACTGACCTAGCTTATGATGGGATGCATGTAAACATGCTCTCTGGAGTGGAGCAGATGAACCAAATCAAAGGCTGATTTATGTAGACTCTGTGTTTCTTTGTACTTCATGTTGTGTTGTTTGTTCACAAGTGGTCATGTCTGCTACACTGTTGTGCAACAGTGTAGTTCCTGATTTGTGTATTAATCTTGTATCTAAAAAGAGGCTTAGAGAGGGTTAGTTGTTTAGCTCTAAGTCTTGTCCTCTAGTCTTAACAAGGAAAAATAGAGACCCGATGGATTGTCTCATGCTACAATGCAACATTTATGATGCAGAGACTCCCGTCCATGTTACCATTGTTCTGTCCTGATCAATCACTTTTTGAAAGGTTCATGACCAAAGATTTGTTTAGTGAGAATATGTGTAATGCAATGCAAGTCTATTACTTTTTTTTTCCTCTTCATGGTAAAAGCTGTCACTCCATGCAATGTGCACAATTCACGTAACTTTGCCTTTTAAACCACCTGAAAAACATAAAATATAAAAAGCAGCCTGGCAAGAAGTACTGTGCATCTGAGTTATTTCTTTTGAAAATAGTTAAGTCACCTCGTTTAGAATTTTTGTTGTATTGATAATTTGGTAGCTATTGTAGTAGTCTTGGGTTTCTCGTATGGAAAAACAAATTGACTTGCTTACAGTTCTGCACTGTATGTCGTCAAAGGAACCTTATTATTTTTCTTTCGTAGAATTGTTTATTAGGTTCAAGTGTTCATCTGTTTCTGTCTCTATTTGTACATTGATTATTCATGTTTTGTTGTTAAATACTTTTGCCTTGCCCTCTAGCAAGCAAACTCTAGCCATGCAACTGTGAACTGGTTCAAGTGGTTTTATAGTGTAGTTTTACATTGTTGACCCACCAACTCCGCTGTTAACGGAGCATACCTAATATTTTATTTGAAGTCCATATTTAAAACAAAGAAACAGTATTAACTGTCTGTCGCTTGAATAATTTTTGTTTAGTTCATGTGTGATGTATTTCATGTCAAAATATCTATGGTACTTAACTGTGTTTGGCTTACTGTCTGTTTAAATTCTATATTCAAATATATCTATCTACTTGATACAAGTTTTGTACTATTTGTGATATGGAAATGAAAAGATTATATTTATTGTTAAATGGAACAATATTTTATTAGAGACAAGATTATGTAATAAATTTCATGTGAGATGTGTTAATGATGTTGATGTACTTAAATGTTTGTATGAATAAGGATTAGTGTTTGGTAAATGTAGTTTTACACTGCTATCTTCAATTGGGTGGAAACTGACAAAACTAAGTGATTATTCTACTGCTATGAGTGCCATTCCAACTGATTTGAAATTGAATCAGTTTTACCTGACAATGTCTCCTTCTTAAAACTTGATTGTTGAAATCTTTTTGCTTAATTTCATTTACAACAAATGATTTGGATTTTGCAGTTCCTCTGTTCGACTGAACTTGTAGAAATATTTGTCATTTATTTACATATCTCTCTGCCAATGTTGCTTATCGTAACATTTGTGGTCTGACAGGGGATGCTATCACATATTTTTGTTTATTTTTTGCCAACTTGAAAGTGGTTGCTGTTACTACTTTTGCATTGCTGTCCTTCAGAATGAGGTTTGATAACAGTAACGCTTCATACGGCCTCAGGTTGCTAGTGGAAAAGAAATGCATTTGTCAAATCCAAACCTATTGTGCAAATATGTAAAAGTACTTTTTATAATGTGCTCTTGCGGAAGAACAATTAAGTTCCAAGCAACTCAAAATAAGTTGACCTTTTAAAGCACTGCATGTTCAATATGCCAAAGACATTTGGTTTTCATATGCACAGAAAGCTCATAATTCAAAGTTTGCTGTATAAAGTGTTTAAGTGACTGAGAAGGATCAACATTGTAGTCAGTTATCAATAGCAGTGGATTGTTTAAAGTCCTTTTGAGACAGAGATTAGCATGTTCAGAAAATATTTGTGAAATATTTTTTCCCTTTAGATGGAATATTAAAATTTCGGTCAGTTTTTGACACGAAATTCTGTTATGTGTAGAAGTAAAATAGCCTTTTGTTATAATGTACTTAGTCAAATTTGTACCAGGAAAAGAAAGTTTTATTTCCCTGAGAATTATTTCATGTTACATTAAAATCAGGCTTAGAGTATTAAAGATATTTTGAAAGTATTCAACGAGCTTTATTGTATGCCACACATTCATCTGACCAATGCCATATGACACCGAGAAAGGATGAGCTACAAAATCTAAACTGGGAGCAGTGCTTATCAGGGTTCAAAAGAAACCACAGGATTGAGTTGATGCGGCAGCGCATAACTGCGTGTCACAGGAAAAGTTCATTAAGCACTGAGCTCAGTGCCTTCTGAGCTAGCTTCTGTTTCTTAGACCCAGCAACGTCCCATATGAATTTCAGACAAATCTGAGGTGGTCAACCATTTTCATCGACACTCCTGACACTATTTCGAGGGCCATTTTGGCCTTAAGCAGTCTTTTTCTGGTGAAAAACAGGAATGTGCGCCGGATAGGTAGGCAACCCGTCGTCCACAGCCTCTTCACCGAACCAGCACTCAACTAGCGTCGTGGGAAAAGTCGTTTGCACACCAAATAGTATGTCTCAAAGACCATTGGGCAACGGATATCTGTTTCTTAGACCCCTAGCAACGTTCCATATGAATTTCAGACAAATTGAATGTGGTTGACCATTTTTTACATCATGGTTTTTTAGCGTTTTGGGTGAAAAATTTAAAATGGCCCAAATTAGAGTATGTTGTGTTGGAGCACTCCCTCAACACTCCTGACACTTTTTTAAGGGCCATTTGGAAGTGGAAAACTGGAATTATTGGAGTGTGTGCCAGTAAGTTAGCCAACCCATCATCATCTACAGCTCCTGCAGTGCAGAACTGAACTGGCATCACGGGATTAAGTTTAAGCCATTTTGATTTTTTGCTGGTAATGGTACTAACAGGTCCTGACATGAATGGTCGGAAATAAACAAAACAAAAAACATTTGATTAATTAAAAATTTTATTTAAAAATTTACAAGGGCAACATACTAGTGTCCTACCTCATAAAGCAAGATACGGCTGTTATTCAGTAGCCAAATCAAGTGACACTGCATGCAACAAGAGTTCAAAAATACAAGGCATTCTGTGAATAGGCACCATTGTTATACAATTCATTAAATATATGATTTAGATAAACTCTTTAATAACAATAGAACACTTCATAATCTTGAAAACTTGTAACTCGAAATTCATACAGTAGAAAGTTAAGTGAATCAAGGCCACTAAGTGTGAAATTCTTCCTCACTTGTCAAGTTACAATACACTTAGGAAGATGGTGTCTGGAGAGGAGTGAAACATTTAAAAGCTATGTACAGGAAAATGATGGGGAAAGCCCCAACCCAGGCACCATCTGCCTGCCTTCCAAAGCAAATTAAAAGTTAAAGGTCAAGAGCAAAGATAATGTGTGTCAAAATGTAAATATGGCAGTCACAGACAGTGCTTTACACACCTGGAACATAAAATTTCTTTTAACGAATCATACCAGTAAATATCTTAGGCACTTGCTCTTCCAAATAACCCTGCTTTAAATTTTCTACTTATCAACTTTACAAATGAACTACGGTTTTGTTCCTCTTCAACAGATATATTAATATATTTTTAAAAAGAAGATACAAAACAGAACTGAATGCCTTTCTTTTTTAACTAAATATTACACACACACACAAATTTGAAAATTTAACCCCCCTTCCCAAGAGGATGGATTTCACTGATAGGTGCATATGCAGTAACTTTTATTCACCACACTAAGAGTGGCTAAAGTTTTGCATGCAACGGACTAGGTTTAGCCGTCTAGAGGCTAACACTGCATTTAATTGCCTCCAACCACTATAAACAATGATGGAGACAAAAATAGAGCAAAAAAAGAAATCACACACTAACTTCTATCATTAGTCATGAAATGATTGTGAAGAGAACTTAACTAAGCCATGATAGATGCGTTACATCAACAGAAATTAAAATGAAAACAATGTTATAAACTATAAGTAAAATCTATTAAAACAAACGATATGTTGATTTCTTTGACACAAAGTAAATGGCAACACATAAGCAGAGAGTGAAACTGCTATGTCAATAAATAAAAAGGAGAAAACCATAAACTGTTGGCACAATGAGTAAGAAATTAAGAAACAAGGATAAAAAAAAATTAAAAAAAAAAAAAAACAGATGCAAGGCTTTCTAATTTCTAAGTAAACTTATGCAGCTGAAATAATGCCATTCTATTTGATCCGTGAAAGGTACGTTCATATTGGTCTGCCAGGTATATTATTGATTAATTAATCACCAAAAAGACAAACTATGTCAATAGTCATTAACATACAATGAAGACCATAGTGTTACTAAAAATAAGAAAACAAGTGTCATAAATGACTTAGCTCATTGAAGTTCACCTGGGACCAGAAAACCTACAGAATTTTCTTCACACACAACAAAACATAGGATAAAAGGAGAAATCAAACTACAGGAAAATAATTGAAAGGTCAGAAAGAAAGTAATGGAGAAGAGATGATAGATAAATAGAAGAGAAAAAGAGAGTGAATGAGAAAAAGAGAGTGAGAGAGAAAAACAGAGAGGGAGAGAGAGGGAGAGAAGAATAGAGAGTGGTAGGAAAAAAAAATGAAAGTCAAAGATCACAGATACAACAGAGAAGAGAGAGAGATAGAGAGAGAGAGAGAGATGGAGAGAGAGAGGCAGAAAAAGCAAGAGAGAGCCAGAGAGAAAGACGAGACATAAACTATAGAGAAGGAAGTGAAATGAGTTAGATGAGAGAGACAGAGAAAGCAAGTAGAGAGATGGAAAGACAAGAGGAGGCAGGAAAGAAAAGACAGAAAGGAAAAGGAAAGGCTGGACATGAAAATTATTCCAAATTAAAAACAATGATTAAAATATATCCGGTCCCATTAAGTGAGTGTTCCTGAGCAGAACTCTCTATACATTGCAGTAGAATAAGTACTACAGAGACACGTCCAATGCAAATTGAGATTGATGCAGGCTTTCCATTTTTAACGTGTTAAGTACTTAGTGGCAATCACTGATGTGGCCGCAACACAGCAGCATCAAGAACAGCTTGTTTAGACTACATCAGTCTAAGAGACACAATGAATGTTTAGGAACAATCACAGTGATTAGCACCATTTAAAAAATTAGAACTTAAATGTGAACAATATTTGAGAATGAGATGAGCAGATGTCCACATTGCAGAAAGTGTACAACCTACAACTACAACCTGGTCCAATTCATGTGTGTGAAGCATGGATGTAATTTAACAACTTTATAAAGGAGAAAAGAAAATTGATGAACAGGTGGTTTGACTTTTGAAAAACTTTGTTACAAACACAACAACATAATCCATTAGTTGTTGTCAAGTTGGTATGTCTTGGAGGATGATGATGTGGTCAAAGTTCTTCTCTCTACGGTGCGCTGTGTCATGGACTGTTTTAGCATTCGCTGCTCCAACGACTTGGTTTCCACTAAGGACCCATCGTCAGCCACCCTCATGGAAGAGCTAGACGTCATGTTCCGGTCCAAGTCCCCCAGGTTGCTCTCCGAGAAGGTCGAGAAGTTGCTGGTGCTCATGCTGGACGCGCCCGAGTAGTCCAGTGGCGGCGGCGGCGGTGGCGGAGGCAGCGAGTGGTCCACAGTGCTGCTGGAGGAGTACGTCTTGTACACGGAGCTGCCGAAGGGGCCGGGCCGGCCGTCCACGCAGGGGCTGAGCGGCCCTGCCGGCGAGGACGTGGCCGAGGCCGACTTGTCAGACTTGCCGGCCTGGCTCGTGCTCGCAGACAGCGAGTAGAGCTGCGGGCTGGCTGGTACGGGCGGCGCCGAGCCGAGGCCGAGGCCGTGCGGAGTGAACGCGCTGGGCCTGGCCAGAGGCGTACCCAGAGAGCCCAGCGACCCGGACCCGGGGCTCTTGAACGTGCTGGTGCCTCCGTAGTGCTGTGGTTGACTAGGGCTGTACGGGCTTGGGGTGGGCGTGGCCGTAGGGGTGGGCGTGGAGTGCGCGCTGGCGTACACGCCACTGCCCAAGCTGTTCTGGGCCGCTGGCGGCGGCGTGGCCAAGGTTGCGTAGCTGTTGCTGGGCGGGTGGCTCGAGAAGGAGCTGAGGCCTGGCGGCGAGCGCTGCGCGGTGAAGTGCGGGCTGCCATGCTGCCCCTGCGGGTAGGACTGTGCCGACTGCGCCACCCCCGCGTTGCTTGGACTAGAGTAGGCCGGACTCTGCCAGGACGGCGCGCCGTGGCCAAAGCTGCTGCCGCCGCCGTGCCTGGCCTGGGGCTGAGCGGAGTCCCCGTTGACACCCGAGTGGTGGTAGTGGTGCGGCTGATGCTGCTGCTGTTGCTGCTGTTGTTGGTGGTGGTAGCCATGGCCGGCACCGGGGGAAGGCCCCGAAGGAGCTCCTCCTGGCCCGTGGCCGTCCGGCCCGGGACCTCTGCCGTCGTACCTGCAGCAGCAGACAAGGCACTAGTCAGTGGAGAGGCCAAAACCACGTGAAACACCGCGCACCCCAGCTTAGCTTAGCTGTGCCTGCTATGCAAAGAAAGCTCATTAGAATGCAATTCTTTTGTCGTCAGTTTACAGGTGTTAAAACTTGGAAAATATATATACAGCATTAAAAACAAAAACAGTTTGAACACAGCCCAACCTCGGTTAAAAAAGTGTTGTTAAGAATGAACCATTTTACATAGCGCAGCATCACTTTTGTTAAAAATCAGTGGATTGACAAAAAAATGGTAATGCCTACACAAAAGCATTGTGAAATTCTGTTGCTTGCAAGGTGCATTTGGGGATGACATTGCTTATTTAGAAGGATATTTTTCTCTTTTTTAAATTTAAGAACAAAATTTGAGATAAAAATTAAGCCACAAGTTGGCTTTGATTGAAATCAAGGTGAATATTTTATTGTTAGAATGGCAAATGAGCGATAGAGGATGCCCATGCACATGCTCAAGCCTTTAGTTTCGGCGAGCAATAAAACAAAACGAAAAACGACACACACACATTGTTACCTCGTCGTGAAGGACTCATAACCACTTCCATAGCCATCAGTTTCACCATCAGATGCACTAGCATCACCTCCCTTCATCTTGTACTTTGCTTGTCGAATGGCAGTTAAACGACCTCTGGCTTCTTCGAGCTGTCTTTCAATACGCAGCACTTCCGACCTGTAATGTAAAAAGAATTATCATTAAAACCAATCTTGATTTTGATAAGAAAACACAACCATATTACACATTAGAAATGTACTGACCTTGCATTGATTTCTTGAGCAATTCCACCGACCATTCGCTTGTTCAGGACGAGGCTACGCTCTTCTTCATTTTGAATAGCTTGTTGAGCTGCTCTAACTAGGTTATCAGTTGCTCTTTTCACAGCATTTCCAGCAGCTTGAAGCCGTTTAGTGCTTTCTGCATCAGGGTCAGCCTTCACCTGAAAATCCCATAGCAAAAGTTAAGTATACAGCAGTTACCTGATAAAAAAGGCAAGTATTTTAAGGGACTATTTTCATTACCTTGCAAGCAACTAATAATTGTGCTGTAGAAGATGCAACTTGTTTAGCTGACGAGATAAGTTTCTCCTCAGATGCTAGACCCTGCACCAAGGCATTGGCAGATTCCACAAGGCTGTGTGTGGCTGCTGCCACGAGACGAGCTGCTGAAATAAGGCCTTCTGACCACTGGCCATCTTCAGAGCTGGTCAAAGGCCTTCGGCTCACTTTGCCAAGGTCCATAAGCTCTCGCTGAGCGGCTGATGCTGCCTTGACCAATGCTGATGTTGCAGCTGCGATTGATTTTGCAGCTTCCAGAATCATTTCATCAAAATTCATACTTTCATCGGCTTCCTAAAAATAGATAAGAAAACAGAAAAAAAAACCGTTTAGTCTCCATAGTTCAAAAGTGCTGCATCTTTGCTTAGTGGACTTTAAACCTCCTATTATTTTAATGGTTTTGGTCTAAAGTATTATTAGTTCTAGCACACAATATTTATTTTTTAAATAAATGAAAGTAATGTGTGGGTATCCTGATGTTCGTTGTAAATAGCTTCACTGTAGGAATATGTTTGATTCCTGGTTGGTAGAAAAATACAACCAAGAATATCAAACATATCTCACAGTAATAAGCCAAAAGATCCTCTTGAGAGCTGATTGTTGTCTTCTTCTGTTCAGAGATGGCTAAGCAAAGGTGATCGTCCATTTAGTGCGACTATCTAACATCTAAATAACCAAATTTTGGAATACTGCTCTACAGAGTTGATGGACGATCAACACATTGCAAAGTTCTACATCATAGACAGAAAGCTCTACATTCTACGAATTACATCCTTCTACATATAACCTACATTCACTAAGAGGAAACAAAAATTACCTGAACTCCCTGGATAGAGCGTCGTGGCCTTAATGCTGCTAGTTTCTTGGCTGCTGCATCGATTGAAGCTGCTGCACCAAGCAACTCATTCTCCGCAATGACAGTGGGGTCATCGGGGTCAACCCAGTCAGTACCTAAAGAATACATAAATGTGATCATTCAATTGGAAAATACAAACACAATTATAAAGAAAGACAAGAAATGATGCCGAACCTTTGAGCAACTCAGCCATGGCCACTAGGTTAGTGACACACTGGGCGATGAGCCGCGAAATGGGCAGTAGTTCTTGTTTGGCTTCAGATGAACCTGGTCTATTAAGGGATTGCAGAACTGCTTGCAAAAGTTCACGATAGCGAGCTGCAGTGTCTTGACCCGCAGAAAGAGTACGAATACGCAATTCTTCGGTTTCTGCTGAGTTTGCACATCCTCGACAAATAGTTAGCATATCAGAAATTGCTTTCCGGCCTACATTAGCCGCTATTATGATATCTTCCTGTTTGCATGAATTTCCAGCAGCAACAGCTTTGGCAGTAGCAAGAGTGATCGGTTTGGTACACCGAACGAGGTCTTCCGGAGTAGCATGAGATTTGACTTGCTCTGGAGAGTTTAAGGCCTGAACAGCATGAGGAAAGAACCATTAGTCAGTGAAAGATACATGGCTTGACAACATCAAAGAAAAGAAAATAGTTTGGACCAAGTTATAGAATTCCATGAAGGAAGACTTACTCTGATTTCCTGTGCAATAGCCTCAATTGTAGATTCCAATGCACGAGTTCCCCGAGTGTGTTCATCTTCAACAGCTTTCACAGTTTTCAAAAGGGATGTTACATTTGTCACCATCACCTGCAGAAAACAAATTAGGAATTAAGAAGAGTGTCCTGTGACTTCTGAACAGAAACACAGACTGTTAGCAAAAACTCAAAGGTTATTTGATCTGTGATTATGCTATGAATTTTACAGTTTATGCAGGGTTAGCTTTCTCTTATTTTGATTGAGTTTCATCATTATGTAATAACAACCAAAGACCTATAAACCACTAATTTGTGTGTGACTCCTCTAGTTTCTAAAGTGCAGGCATACTTATGCTACAATGATATAAGGGAAAAACAAAGCAACAAGATAGGCATCCAGGATGAGTAGTATTTAAATCAACATACCATTACATTGCAGAAGTATCTTGAAACCCTACTACCATACAATTTTTACTATTATTGATGAAATACTATTTCAAACAGGTTTTTACTGCTTTATTGTTTAAACAGTTCTACAATAGATATATTTCCAGAAACCCAAGAAACAGTACGATACCAACCAAAACAAATACATTGATAGAGTAATTTGCCATAGGCTAATAAATAAATAAAAGTTGTATAAGAAATATAACTCTCCTAAAAAGCTTAAATCATAAATAAATGCTTAATAAATAGGCTTAACAAATAAACATAAGACTGATATGTGTACAGAAGAAAAAAATGCGACACTCTGAAGCCCTCTACTGTGCATTATAGGGTACATCAAAGTTTTTATTACAAGTTTTATGTTGCAAAGTGCGACTTTACAATATAGTAAATAATACAAGGAAAATAATTGTGAATCCCCCAAACTATTCTCTTGCCTCCGATGCGGGTCTGTGGCTAAGTTGTGTCCATCCAAAGCGACTCGCCACTTGCTTGTGAGGCTGAAGACAGCACACTTTCAAGCCTATTGAACAGATACATAAATAAACAGACGGACATGGAAACACATTGAAATTTAAGTCCACAAAGTTCACAAAGGAAATGTGACATTCAAGATGCAGAGAACAAACTAAACAACAATATTACAAACAAAACTCTGCATGTGTGTTACTACTAAAACTGTACATAACAACAACTATCTTCAATGAGAAAAGTGATGGAAAAAGTATGACAGAGAAAAGTAAGGTGTTATTGTAAGAGATTCTTTGCAAGAAAAATGAGATTTGAAACATATATGAAACACTGAGCATTCCACAGAAAAGGATGCAACAGAACAAATTAAAAGCCAGGCGCTAAAAGCCAGGCAACACTCACAGTGGACTTAAACTTGGTGCACCATTTGTCTGTCCAAAACTTCTGTTCTCTTACCACAAGCAAGCAACTTAAGTCCAAGGTGCAGATCACCAGCTTTGTTGATACACAGCTATATAGTTCCCTCAAATTTCTGCATTTCTTCAAATACACTTCTTGACACTATGAAATATTAGCAGAAGATGTCCTGAATCTATAACTATGTATACCCATTATAAGGATGAGGTTTCAGTCACAATCCAGTAATGTTAACTCAAAGACCTTCAGGCCCTCGAGTATATTCAACCAGACAAGTTATAAAAGAATTAAACAGAAAGAAAAAATAATATAAAACGTTTGTTATTTAGAAAGTTAAAGAGGAACTTCACCTTACACCTAACTTATAGAAGCATTGTGAGTAACCATCTTGGTTCTCATGAAGTCCACTGCGAGGACACACCAAAGAACTAATCAAAACTACATATCACAATGATTGTTAGCATTCCAGTGCCATTTGACATAAACAATGTAACAGTTAAATCAAAATGCAATTAATTCTAAAAGAGTCACACCAAAGTCGATCTAAGGAGTCTTTGATTATTAAAACATTAGTTAGAAGCATAAAACACTCTTTAAAAATGATAACTTAAAAGCTATCAATGAAACTGCATGCTTCTTCAACTGAACACAATACAGGCACGAACAATGAGTATCACAGAACAAATTGACTAAAATACTGGTTAGACATCAAAAGAAACAAAGCTAAAAACCTCAACCTTGATAGATTGAATTTACTGTACCTTTGCAGAGTCTTTCAAATGGTTCATGGAGGGATCGTTAATGCTTTTGCCTGATGCTGCCTTTGTGGCATGGATCAGATCTCCAAGAGCAGATGCCACATCTTTGACGGCATTGATAAGCATCACCTGCAAGGAAGAAATAAATAAACTGGTTTAAGAACACGCAAACACACTCACAGATACAAATGTTGAACTTTATGGTGCCATGAGAGTATATAATACCTGTGCCTCTGGATTGTTGGAGCCAAGGGAAGCAGCACCAAATTTAACAACCTCTGCTAACTGTACAATAGTAGAAACAGCATTCTGGGCTGCAACAGCTAGCTGTTCTTGAGATGAAGCAGCACCTGTGATCAAAAACAAAAGATATAAGCTGAATTCAGCACCCCTCCAATGTGATACAAGATGTAAACAGTGCCAATGCTTACCAGCAACCAGGGTTTTGGTGTCCTCAACAAGGGCTTTGGCTGTCTTCAGAATATTTTCTCTGTGGTCCGCAAATGTGTCGTCTTCTCTTTCTGCATTAAGGGTGCCAGCTGTCGCAAACATGATTGTTGTATCCAAATCTCCAATAATGCCCGACACAGTGGAAGCAGCATTGATGCAAGCTTGGGTTCCCCTCGAGCCAGCTTGAAGGGCAGCAAGGACTTGGGACACCTTTTCGGAGACATTCCTGGCACTGTCAGCAACGTCACGCTGAGCAAATGTGTCACCAGTGGGTGCCATCTGGCAAGCTCCACCAGCGGCAACAAGGTCAAGACAAGACCTTCCAAGTTCTTGCACACTGGTGCGGATCCGAGAAGATACATCAGCATTAGTTGTTGACATAGCCGCTCCAGTGGAGTCCGCTGCCAGCTTGCAGTATTGATGAGTAAGTTCTGCGGCAAGCTGGCCAAGACGGGCAGGATCATTGCCTGACTTTGAAACCATCTCTTGAGCTATGCGGGCAATCTCTTTAGCACATGAAACCATGCGAGTCTGGTAGTCAACGAAGCTATCAGTGATGGTGATTTCAGTAGTGGTCGACACTGATGTGCGGTTGTCAGCAACACGAGTCATAGCTCGGGTGATTGTATCCAGGAGACCAGTTACAATGCCTGCTTGCGTAGAAAGCTGTTCAAGTGTGCCAGCCAAATCCTGAAGAGCATCCCTTGTGGATTCAGCCGATTCATCGATTTCAGGGTGAATGTTCAGTGCTTTGGGGTTGCCTCCACCTTCCTTGGTTGCGTGAACCAGTTGCAAAGCACATTCAGCAGTTGTTTTCGTCTGGTCAAGCAACCTCATTTGTTGTTTGGAGTGAACCATAGCAGAGGCAGCACCCACTGCCCCAGCTACCAAGGGCTCAATGTAGTGAACTAGTTGAGTCACCTAAAAATAAAATTTAAAAATTTTCAGACACTTAAAAAAAGGCAAAATTGAAAAGAATTAAAATATTAACAAAAGACAATGCTTACTGCATGGCCAATATTTTCTGCTTCATATTTAGCAGCATGTCTCAAGGGCTCAAGCTTCTCTGAGATCTCATTCACAGAACTCTCCATTTGATCAGTGAAACCCTGCAGCGTGTTGTCGCGTCTCGCAGGCAGGCTCTGAGACACGGCGAGAAGCGACGTTTGATCCAGATCTCTAATTCGTGAGCTCAAGGTGTCTATGGCCGCATCACAATCCTTCTGACCAGGAGCCTTATCCCTAGAATCAAACCAAAAGCCAAAGTAAGGAGACATGCCAAAAAACGCGTGCAAAGCCCCATCGCCCAGGCCCATGTTAATTTAGCACCAATAACCATTATCCAAAGGTAATGCCATGCCGCTGGCGCTGGCCGCTACCAACTAACCTGATGGACGACACCAACTTCTTGATCGAGTCACTCACGCTCTTGCTGTGGTTGGCCAGCAGCTGCCACGTGGGCGGGTCGCGGGGGTTGACGGCGAGCCCCTTGGCGGTCTGGATGAGGTTGCACGAGCCGTCCACGATGGCGCGGCCTGCCTCCAGGATGGGCTCCTGGGCCTCGTGGGCCGCGGCGCCCAGGCGGGCGGGCCGGCTGGCAAACTCGGGCGAGCCGGCGTAGGTGCACAAGCTGTCCACGGCGTCCAGCAGCGGCCTCGTGGCCTTTAGGCACGACTTCCTGTTCTCCTCGCTGTAGTCCACGTCGAGGGCCTTGATGTCCTTGACCAGCAGCGCCGTCGAGTTGGCCACGTCCTTGGCGGACTGCACGAAGTGCTTCTTGGCGACGGGGTTGGTGGTCTTGAGCGAGGCCATGCGGCACGCGTTGCACAGCTGGCTGGTGTGCTTGGCGATGACCGTGGCGGCCGACAGCACCTGCTGTTGGCTGCTGGCGGGGTTGGTGAGCGAGCTGCACGCCTGGTGGATGGCCTGGGCGGAGCGGGCGAACTGCGCCTGGTCCACGATGCCCGGCCTGCCGGCCACGCTAGTGGGGTCCGACACGGCCACCAGGTAGGCGGCCTGCGCCGATGCCTCCACCAGGCCGCAGATGAGCGTGCTCACGTTGCGCACCGACTCGCCGAACTGCTCGTGCTCGGAGCGCTTGGCGTGGTTCGCGATGCCCGTCATGCCCTCGCCCAGCGCCTTGGATTTCTCCATGAACGCGTCCAGGCACTCGAAGTAGCTGAGGTCGCTGACGGGCTCGGACGGGTGGTCCAGCAGCGGCTTCATGCTCTGGATCTTGCGCACCGCGTTGTCGCACTCCTTCTGGCCGGGCGCCGCCGAGGTGCACACGTCCACGAGGTGGTTGATGCTGTCGGTGACGGCGCGCGCCGCCGCCGTCAGCTGGTTCTTGGAGTTGGGCGCGCTGGGGTCGGCGGACACGGACTTGGCCGTCACGAGCAGCGTGGACGAGGTGGTGGACACGCTGCGCAGCGAGAAGATGATCTGCGTGCGCGTCTCCGTCTCCTTGGTCTGGCCGGCCATCTCCATGCCGACGTTCACCACGTCGCCGAACGCCGCGCCGAAGTTGCGCGAGGACGTGGCCAGCTCGGACGAGCTGTGGATGGACTGCACCACGTCGGTGGAGGCGTCGTTGAGCACCGCGGCGGCCGAGTTGAGCTCCTGCTGCAGCTGGCCGTACGACTTGTTGGTGGCGGGGAAGTGGTCGGGCGAGGCGAGGAACGACGACACGTCGTGGATCGACATGATGGCCGAGTCGATGTCGCGCTGGCCGGGCAGCGAGTCGACGCACGCGTTGAGCGCGGAGGACACGTCCTTGGCCACGGCCGCCATGTTGCCGGCGTTGTCCTGGTTCTGCAGCGAGCGCCGCGCCTCCTCCACGAGCCGAAGCGACCGCAGCATCACGTCCTCCGCGGAGGTGATGACGCGCTCCTGCGTCTCGCGGACCGTGGTGGTGGCGGCCACGCCGCGCACGGCCATGGTCAGGTCCTTGAGGGAGGCGGCGGTGTCCCTGGCGGCGAGCCCGGTGTAGTTCTCGTTGCCCTGCGACGCGGCGGACAGCAGCTGCGCCATGGCGAAGTTGACGCTCTTGCTGGTGCTGCCCAGCTGCAGCGCGGCCGTCTCGGCCGTCTCGCCGGGCAGGGGCCGCAGCTCGGCGCGCTCCGAGGCGCGGCGGAAGGCCTGCAGCTCGGCCTGCAGCGAGCGGATCAGGTCGGACGCCGCCTCCAGCTCCGCGCCGGAGCACGCCTCCCTGGCGCGGACCGCGGCGGAGCGGAGGTCGCCCAGCGCCGAGTCCAGCGACTGCGAGCTGCTGCTGAGCTGCATGGCCGAGGCCTGGTCGCTCACGGTGGGCAGCACGGCGCGCGCCGACTGCACCACGCGGCCGCCGGGCTGCAGGAACTGCTCCGAGGCGTTGATGAGCGCCAGCTGGCGGTCGGGGCTCTCCGGCGCCGCCATGGTGCCCTTGACGCCCTCCACGAGGCGCGGCACCAGCCCCGCCATCATCTTGCAGTCTATCATGAGCTCCTCCTGCGAGGCCTTGTTGGCGTTGTGCGGCGCCACGCTCTGCGACGACGCGATGCACTGCGTGGCCGAGGACGCCGCCTGCTTGGCCGCGGACTCCAGCTTGCTGATGAGCTTGCGGCGGTACTGCGGGCTGGCCGCCGTGATGGTGGCCGAGCGCAGCTCCTCCACGGCCTGGATCAGCTGCGTCTGGCGCGAGCCGTCGTGCGGCGTGGACGCGCACTGCCTGGCCGCCTCCACCATGCGCGACGTGGCGTCGGCCAGCTGCTTGGCCGCGGCCAGTAGGCGCCGCTGCAGCTCCGAGTCCGGCTGCCGCTCCGCCTCGCCCTTGATGGACTGGATGAGGTACGCCGTCGCCTGCCCCAGCAGCTTCGCCTGCTTCACCATCTCGGCGGCGTCACCCTGCGACTTGACAAGCTTGTCCGTCGTGACCAAGATGGTCTCCACGTGGTCCTCCTCCTTCGTCTCCCTCGCCTTCTCCCGCGTCCCCGACCTGTCGGGACACACGGCACAAGCACAAGCAGCGGGGTCAGGTGCGGTGTGCGGCAAGGGTCAGGAGCAAGGGCAGAGCAGCCGGCTTTCGCCTTTCGGCTTGCCGAAGAAGGGAGTGGGGTTATCGCGACGGGACCAGACCAGCACCCCCAGCCCAGGTTAGACCCCGAAACGGGAAGGGAAGGCGACCATCGGGGAGGCTGTGGTACAGGGGCCAATTTACTATCATCAAATTGATATTCAACTGAATGAACGAATCAGTTAAAACTAAGGGCTCTAACCAAAAATCACTTTAAGACACTGAATCATTTTTTTTCTGAATAGAAAAATATCTGCTTCCCCAGTGGTTGCTTACGAACGAAAAGTATACTACAGCAGGCTTTATTTTGTACATGTTACAACCCATCCGTTCCTCCTTGCAATTTAGTAATCATTCCGGGGTTGAAATAAAAATAACAAGGGAAGCGCAGGGGACAGTGACACTGGACACGACACTCATGAACAACACCTTTCCATGATAAAATAAGTAGCACATCACTGAAGTGCTATAAAGCGCATGGAAGGTGCCAGTGCCTCCCCACTTGTGCCCTGGGCTTCCCCGTCGCTGCACAGTGGGCCAGAAGACTGGTGGAGGCGGCCAAAACTCTAGACGCGTTGAGCTGCAGAGTCGCTAAATGGGACACGAACCGAACGTCCACCGACGGATTACTCTTCGAACGAGGAATCCATTGGGGGGGTGACACGCTAGGTTCGAGAACCATTTAGCGACTCTGTAGCTCAAAACGCTTCTCGAATTCAGGCCACCTCCACCGATCTTCTGGCCCGCCGAGCGCTCTGCGCGCCGCGACACGGCGACCGCAACTTACTTGATGTGGTTCAGCAGCTCGTTGAGGGTGCGCGTCACCTCGGCGGCGGCGGCCGCCAGGTCGCGGAGCAGCCTCTCGTCGTTGCAGGACTCGTTGCACACGCTCACCAGGCCGTCCACGGAGCGGCCCACCTCGCGCACCGCGCCGCGCAGCTGCTGCTGGCAGGCGGGCGAGGACACGGTGGGCGCCACCACCTTGGCGCAGGCCACCAGCTGGGACGTGGCGAGGGCGCACTGGAAGGGCAGAGCAGAGACAAGGTAAGCGCGTGCACGAGGATGCTCCCACACCGACCCTGCCACACAGCGGGCCAGAAGACCGGCGCAGGCGGGCGAAACTCTAGACGCGTTTTGAGCTCCAGAGTCGCTAGATGGGACTCGAACCGAACGTGTGGGTCACACATTCGATTCGAGTCCCATCTAGCGACTCTGGAGCTCAAAACGCGTCCAGGGTTTTGGCCGCCTCCGCCCACTATGTACCACCCTCCCGTCCGCCGAGCTGCTCTCACCTGCGTGGCGGCGCCGATGACGCGGTTCTGCGTGCCCTGGTCCGGGCAGGTGGCGGCCACGCTCTTGGCCTTGATGACGAGGGCCGCGGTGGTGTTGGCCACGGCCTTGGCCAGTCCCAGCAGCAAGTCCTGCACCTCGCGCCCGTACTCGTCCTCGTCGCCCATGTTGCTCAGCACCTGGTGCGAGGCCTCGCCCACGCGGCTCGCCGCGTTCAGCAGGTTCTGGCGCGGCTGCGACGACAGAAGCAAGTCAGTCAGGACAACCCAGTTCACTGAGACGGGCGAGGCAAAGCGACGGTGGCGGTGAGACTGACTTGGTGCGTTACCTCTCTTGTTTCAGGCTCCGCAGCTCGCAGCAGGTCGCTGAAGGCGTTGCACAGGCGCCTGGCTGCGTCCAGCAGGCGGTCCCCAGAGTTCTCGTCGTCCATCAGGGCGGCGATCATCCTCACTCCCCGAGTCATCTCCGGCAGGTTGCTGGTGATGGTGGTGATGGCTGCCCCCACGGCAGTGTGGTCCACTTCTTCTGGTGGGCCAGCAGTCAGCGTCACCACCTGGGCCGTGGCAGCATTCATCGCTGCAATCTGGGAGCTTACGTTTTGCTTGTTGGTGTCGAGGGTGGATTCCTTCCATTTTAGCGAAGCCTGGCAAAATAAAAGAGACGTTAGCAAATAGGACAATGACATCTATGTGTCAATGGTAGAAGACACCTAAAGACTCAAATACATACAGGGTCTGATCCAAGTTCTGGAACCTCAATGCTTTCAATGAGCTCCTTCTCCACTGTTACAATTATGTCTTGTCCAGTGTTTATCGTAGATAACAATGCTTGCTGCGGTTCAGACAGCAGATTGGTCACCTGTGATTGTTGAAGCTGCCAAAACAAAATTACAGAATTAGGTTTGACTTTAAAAAAGTTATTCAGAAAAAGAAATCTAGTAAATGAGATTAGAAAAGAGAAGTAAATGAGAAATGGCAAGAATGGCACGCTTCAAGCTAGAAGCAGCTTGTTTGCATTTATGAGGGAATTATTCTCACACATAAATGACTTATTAAAATATATCTACAGTTTCATAAAAATGTTAATAAAAGGAGTACCTACTCTGCTCCAATTGTAACCACCCTCTATTAGAGGCAAGACATGGAACAGATAACACACAAAAAGACAAGTAAGTAGACAGTCACCAAGCAGTCACCCAATATTAGTCACATGCTTTAACACAAGCTGCAAATTAAAACGATTCACAGGATATTTCATTTTGATTTCGGGACATTTATTGAATTGTATTGCAGGGCGCAACCCAACAATTAATTGTTGGTCAGTGGCAAATGCTTCCAGCATTTGAAAATTTTATAAAGAAAGTCTAAAACCCCAAGGTAATAGAAGAATTGAAAAGGAAAAAGACTTTGTACAGTTTCATTTCCAATTTGCAAAGGCACATGCTTTTAGGCACAGCTTAGACACATTTAATTTGATGACACAAATTATGAATATACAGAAAGCAGACTGTAAGACAATAGAGATTGGATTAGACACATAATAAGTCACCTTATCATGAAAAGGGAAAGCACATTCAGAAAATAGTTCATGCCAGGTTTTGGATAGGAGTCACTTGAATGTGACAGAAGAGATATTTTCATTTACACATTCTGAAAAAGCAGCGGTATGTTAGCTGTCAATAATACAGCAGCAGCTTGAGTACTCACCGTTGTTGCTTGATGGCCTACATTGATTTGGCCAGTTGTGGTCGTGTACTGCACTCCACCTATATGGCCAGTTCCATAGGGTCGTTCGCCTGCAAGAAGCGTATACACACTACAGCTACAGCAATAACGACGCACACCGCCTCAAGCTTCACCTAACGCAGTGCAGGTGTCCACACTCCTCAGTTTGCACCCATTCAATCCGTTGGTTAATTGATTGGTTGCAAATCTGGGGTAGTGCAAAATGTACACAGTGCAGTTCAGAAAAATTGAATTTGAATTAAATGGTGAAAAGAGGGGACAAAAAAGTATTTACAGTAAGAAAACTGAAGTAAAAATTGACTGTACAGGACTTGACTTTCAAATTTGATTAAATGTAGGACTTTAAAAGAGTAAAATTTTCACAAAATTTTGTTAGAGATTCTGGCTTGCCTGAGGGCAGCAGCGTGTGTTTGCAGCTAACAGGCTTTGCCTGGTTGCACATGCACTGCACTTTTAATGTCAACACACTGCTACACAACAGCCCCTGAGCTGTATTAACATCAAATAGAGTACTCAAAACAGTACAGAAACTTTACTAACGTATCTGAGGTATTTATTTTCTGATAAAGAGCCAAGGTAAATCAATGGCAAGATGGTTGCATTCATCTCACCGATAATAAATCAAACTTTGTCAAATGCTTACCATCAGCTCCTGCACGCATGATGGCTGGTTTGGCCACTGACTCTGTGTTGACTCTTCCAATTTTACTGCTTTCATGTTGAAGGATAGTTGCCCTGTTAACAGTAAAATGTACAGGACAGTTTAAGACAAAAGCAAAATACACAGAATGTTTTAGGTTTAGACTTGGGATTGAGAAATGCTCTTACTTGAGTGGAGAAACACTGTCTTCAACCATGGTAGAACCCTCATCTCCTTCAATTCCAAAGTGGTCTTTTGACTTCTTTTTCTTCAAAATGATATCGATGTATCCTGCAATGAGCTGCTGGATTTGCTCAGCCTCAGTGGTCTGCACGGAGTAATACTGATCTGAGTAATCACCAAAATCCAAGGTGAATGTGTTAGGGGAGGCTCCCCACCGGCGCACTGTTGTCAGTGGCCATGTCTTAAGAATTTCTTTGGTTTTTTCATCTAAACGAAGCACCGAGTCTTTTGTTACACCCAAGAGACGAGGCACTAGTTTGTTCTTGCCTTTCATTTTCTCTTTCACCAAGAAAAATGTAACACCATAGGTTTTCAGGTCTCGGGCTGTCTTTGTGTAAACAACTTTTGCATCCAGTTCTGATAACCCTACATGCTTCCGATGCTCAGCAAATATTTTCTTCTCCACACCCTTTACTTTTATGTATGACTGGGGAAGGAACTCCTTCAGATCAAGGAAGGGTGGTTTGTGCTTCTGCTCATTGTGATCTCCAAACTGAATATGGCATTGAATTCCAGCAAACTCACAAGCTTTTTCAAGAGTAACAGGATGTGTTCCATCCAGCATAGCATCCCGAGCTTGCACATATAGCAGGTTCAGCTGAACAGGGTCTCGAGAATCAATATTTTGATCAGAAAAGAAGTATTTACGCCGCAGCAATACAGCCTCATTTTCATCAATACCCTGCTCTCTCAAAGTTTTACCAGGATCAATCCAGTTCACTTCATCATCTGTCTTTAACTTTTTACGCAGTTGTTCCATTTTGGCATCCCGTTCTTTCTCTTCCTTTTTCCTCTTCAATGTTAGTGTGCCAAATTTAGATTGATTTTCGGTATCTTCCTCCACATTTTCTCGAACAAGACTGTATTCATCATGGTTAGTGATACCAATTTTTGTGCAAATAACAACCATGAGATTAGCAACAGGCTGACTATCATCCACTAACATAGTCTTTAGTGTTCCATCTAACATTCTAACTCTAAGTGTACGCAATTTTCTTCGATACTCAAGGAGATCCTGCCAAAAAAAAATTATTGATGGAATTAAAATAAGATTAAATTTTACAACCATAAAAATACTGAGGCATAAAATAATTAAATAAATTGAATGAAGTCTCAAGCCTTGATACTCACCCCATTACGAAGAATATAATACTCTAAATTACGTCCAGGTTCCAGCCACACACCCTTCTTGACATCTTCATCAGCAAGGAACATTCCATAGTCCTGAGCTGTAACACATTGACAAAAAATTATTAGTCGATCAGTTTGAAAAACTAACAAGACTGGAAAACTAAACAAGACAGTACTACTCACGCTGTCCAAAGTTAGCTTCTGATATCTTCTCCCGTATGATGCGGCAAGCATCAAAGACGGAAGTCGAAGGGTCGAATTTCATCGTCTTCGTTACATTCTTGTCGACAATGCTTATTTTCAGCGATAGTGTGGCCATCTTGGAGGCGAGGGGCCCGCGGCCCTAACTACTCTCGTTCACTGCAACAATAGAGAAAAATACATTTTTTTTAAACTGTCAAAAAAGGGGAGGAAAATGAGGGTTGTCGAAGCAAATACAGTATTTTCTGTCGACAAAAAAATAAATAAATCTTAGAGCAAATCCAAGGGACAACACTCGTGGCGGCATGGAGTGAGATGGGAAACGGTGCAGTGGAGGGGATAATGAGAAGGAGGGAGACAGATAGGGGAGATGGAAAGGGGGGGGGGAGAGGAGGGGGGAGGGAAGGCCAGGCGGAGGCGGGACGCTCGAGAAGGGCCCAGCGGATAGCTTAGGGCTGAGTTTGAAAACAAATAAAATTTCACTGCACGCGTCCTGCTCGCACGCGGCCTGCCAGGCCTGCCCTGCGTCGGGAGCGACAGAGACAGAGTCGGAGCCTGCCCCCGATATAGAAGCAAACGTAACGCTGGCGGCCTGGCGGGCGTGGCGCGGCGCAGCAGAGTCGCGCCGTCTCTCTCGCACTCGCGGGGCGTCGCGTGCGGTGCGAGAGAGGCAGGGCGACGCGGCGCGGCCCACAGGGCACCCACGCTCAATCGCGCCTTGCCGCGCCGCACGGCCGCACGCAGGGGCCCTGCCTAGTGCCTTGCCGCCTTGCCCAGCCTGGCTCTGGCCTGGCAACTTGCTCCACTCGATGCCAGTCTGCCGGCAGACTCATTCCGAGAGTCCGCTTCGTCGCTCTGTCTCTCTCGCACCTACACGGAGCGCCCCGCGAGTGCGAGCGAAACGGAATGACTCTCGGGGTCAGTCCGCAGTGTGCCAGTCCCAGCAACCGAACCGAACGGACCCAATCCCATCTCATGCCGCCTGACAGAGTCCGAACGTCCACCGTCCGAACCGCGCGGTGCGGCGAACGGGCCGTCTTTAATTTAGTGCGGCGCCACACAGTGGGCCAGAAGACCAGTGGAGGCGGCCAAAACTCTAGACGCGTTTTGAGCTCCTGAGTCGATAAGCAGGACTCGAACCGAACGTGTGACCCCGCCAATGGATTGCTCTCCGAACGGGGAATCCATTGGTGGGGTCACACGCTCGGTTTGAGGCCCTAGCGACTCCAGAAGTCAAAACGCGTTTAGAGGCTTGGCCGCCTCCGCTGGTCTTCTGGCCCACTGTGCGTGGCATGCGTGCGAGAGAGACAGGCCGACAGCCCAGGGTCGCGCTCTGCTTCATCAGCCAGCGCGACACAAGAGTGAGGCAGACCGCCGCACTGTATGACTGTCCGCCAGAGACGTCGTCGCCGGCCAGGTCACCGCCGTCAGCGCCGCGCCGTCGGCCGTCGTGCAGGTGGGCCAGGGGCGGGGCAGGCCAGGGCGGCGTTAGTCACAGGAAGCGGCCCGCCCCCGCGAAGCCCCTTCCCCTCTGCCTCTTGGACAGCGGCCAGCCGCCAGGCAGCCGCCAGGCAGGCAGACAAGCGCGGCCACTGCGGCCAGCCAAGCCAGCCCATTGCCCCCAGCAGGGCCCAGCAGCCAGGTGGGCAGCCAGCAGGCCGCAGCACGCAGTGGGCCAAAAGATCGGTGGAGCCGGTCAAAATCTCGGACGGGTTTTGAGCTCCACAGTCGCTAAAACCGACTCGAACCGGACGTGTGACCCCACCAATGGATTCCTCGCTCGGAGAGCAATCCATTGGTGGGGTCACACGTTCGGTTCGAGTCTTATTTAGCGACTCTAAAGCTTAAAACGTGTCTAGAGTTTTGTCCGCCTTTTCCGCTCTTCTGGCCCACTGTCCGGCGCCCTGTCCCTCTCGCACCCTCACGTACCTTTCGGGAGGCCCTGCGAGTGTGAGAGAGACAGCGAGGCGGTTCGAAGTCGGCCTGGCCGGGCCTCTCGGATACTACAGCGAAATCGGGCTCCACACTGCTGCAGACTCGGTGTCGGCTCTGTCTTCGTCGCACTCACTTCCTTAGGGCCGCAGCGGTGCGAGAGAGACAGCGAAGCCACAGCTGGAGGCGCGACACTCCGCCAAGGACGCTTCGCGTGGCTTCGCGCCGCGCAGCCGTCCCGCGTCCCGCCTAGTCCCGCCCGAGAGAGGTGCGGCTCAGCACGGCGCGCTCCGGATGTTCCTGCCTCCCGCCTGCTTCCCCGCGAGGGGCCGACGGGCCGACGGGCCCGACAGAGCCTTGACCGTCACACAGTGGGCAACTGTTTCGCGAGACGCCCCCCCCCCCTCTATTCCCGTCTCTCTCGCACAGCACGCCGAGAGCGACTTCAGCATTCCAGAAAGCCCGGGCGATAAAGCAGCCTGCAGGCTCATTCCGAGAGCCGTCGCTCTGTGTCTCTCGCACCCACACGGGACGCCCCACGGGTGCGAGAGAGACAGAGCGGCGAAAACGACTTTCGGAATCGGTCTGCAGCACACAGCTGTGCACGCAGCCGGCAAGGTACGGACTCTCGGGACTCGCGAGCACGACCGACCAGTAAGGCTCAGCATGAGGCGAACGATCCCACAGTGCACCAGTGGTCTAAAGGGTCTAAAGGCGACAGGCCGCCAAGAAGCCCTACGATAGCCTTAATGGAAAACCCAGTGGACCCCCCGTCAGCCTTCGCGCACAACCTTTGGGCAAAAATAGCCAGTCGGCGCCAGCGCGCCGGCCAGGCCGACCGGTCAGTGGGCCAGAAGACCGGTGGAGGCGGCCAAAACTCTAGTCGCTTTTCGAGCTCCAGAGTCGCTGAATGGGACTCGAACCGAACGTGTGACCGCACCAATGGTTTGCTCTCCGGACGAGGAGTCCATTGGTGGGGTCACACGTTCGGTTCGAGACCTGTTTAGCGACTCTGGAGCTCAAAACGCGACTAGGGTTTCGTCCGCCTCCACCGGTCATCTGGCCCACTGTGGGGCGGTCTAGAGGGCCAGCGCTCTGCCAGCGGTCAGCCCCGGGCCGGGCCCCGCAACTAGGGCACGGACCAGCCGGCCTAGGCCAAGCCAAGGGACGGCGTGGGCTGTCGCACGCCGTCGCACGCCGTCGCAGCGATGACTGAAAGCGGTTATTCGGCCATGCAAACGGCGACGCGGAGCGGGGCTTGGCGGTGGCGCCCACACACATACACACTCACAGACACACACACACAGACACACATATATACACACACACACACGAGCGCGCACGCGGCCTGCAGTCAATGGGCCTGGCTGCCGCTACGCCCCTGGCCCCCCTAGCCGTCGTCGAGCCCAGCAGCTCGATGCCGAACACTGCCTCCGACGCGCCGTCTCTCTCGCACTCGAGCGGGGCGTTGCCGGGCGTCGCGTGGGCGTGTGCGAGAGAGAGAGAGAGAGAGAGAGAGAGAGAGGAGAGAGAGAGAGAGAGAGAGAGAGAGAGAGAGAGAGCGCTGCAGCCATCCGCCGAACTGGAACGCCAGAGCGGAGCGTGCGGCAGAGTGGTGTCGACCGAATCCATTCCAGCGCCACACACGCCAGACACAGCCTCAGCAACACACGCACACACACACACGCACAGAGCGCGCCAGCGGAGGGAAGCCACAGGACCAAACGAAACGTATCGAAGAAGGAGAAGGAGAAGAAGGGGGTTCGACACGCAACAGGAAGGCGCTCGCTCAGCCTTCATATCCGAACCGGCCACCCCCTCCCACAACACCCAGGGGGACGGACCGGCGGACCCTTCGCGGAAATCTAGTTATTTGGGCGGAAAATGAAAAATTAGAAGGCCGGCCGAGGGGTGAAGAGGCCCCCGTGAACCGTGAACCAAGCAGACTGATTCCGAGGCTCGTCGCTCTGTCTCTCTCTCTCTCTCTCTCTCTCTCTCTCTCTCTCTCTCTCTCTCTCGCTCTCTCTCTCTCTGTCTCTCTCTGTCTCTCTCTTTCTCGCACTCACGGGGCGTCCTGTAAGGTGCGAGATAGACAGAGCGACGAAAACGACTGACCGTCGAGCCCCTGCCACTCCAAGCATAGGCCATCCCGGCGCACACGGCTGCGTGCGGGACTGCCTACCCAGCCGGGCGTCTCTCTGCCTGTCCGTCCGTCTGTCTGTCTGCCCGTCCGCTCGCCCTCGTTCATTACGAGAGAGGCAGGCGTCGAGGCGCAGGGCGCGCAGGGCGCGCAGGGCAGCAGCGTGGCCCAAACACAGCCCCTTTAAGGGCCGAAGGTCGTAAAGTTGGCGCAGGACACTTGCAGCCCTTATAGCCTTCCGCGGGGAAGTCCTAAAGGGCTAAAGGGTCCGAGGCGTGGCTCTGGCCGTGCCACTACACTGGGCGGGCTGGGCGCACCCTCTCTGCCAATTATAACGTGCGGGACCTAGAGATGTATACGAAGGGAAGACGACCACCCTCTCGGCCGCCCCTCGGCCTCGGCTGCGAGTGCGAGGGAGACAACGAGAGACGCTCGGCTAGATGGATGGGGTTTCCGTTCCAGAAGCTGCAGGGGGCGGGGCGGGGCGGGGTGGGGCCGGGCGGGGCGTCGGCGCAACACTCGATTTATTGCCGATTTGCGGTCAAGTCAACGTCGGTCATAATGAGGTTAGCCCGATCAGCCCTGGCTGGCTGGCTGGCTGGCTGGCTGGCTGCAGGGTGGCCATTATCAGCAGGGCGCGCAGACACGCCCAAAACACAACCCCAAAAGCAAGACGATTCGGAGCATAAATCCGGATTAGAATTCTTTCAGGCCCAACAGAAAAAAGGGAGTCTAGAATGGAGAACATCAAACCAAAAGTGGTACTCAGTATAAATCCAGACTGAATGTCCAGGTCCAGGTCAGACAAAATTTTAGAAAGCCAAAAATATCCTTGCAACTTTAAAAACGAAAAACATTGTATGCAAGCGTCGTTTTGAGGGTAAACTGCCAGTGGTCGAAGCCGTCACTGTCCGATTCCCGATTCCCGCCCCGTTCCGGCTCCGGCCTTCCGGGAAGCGGCGAGGCCAAGCCGACAGCGACGTGGACGCGCCCATCGCCAATCGCAGCGACATATTTCGCCCCTTTCCCCCGCCGACGTCACGATGACGTCACACCGGGTCGTCACAAAGGGGGCGTCGGGCGTGACTGGCCCCGTCACGTTCCCCATGGAAAAGCGCCGGGCGAGGTCACGGCCGGGCGCTCTGTCTGTCTCTCTCGGACCTCCAACGGACCGGCCCGCGAGTGCGAGAGAGACAGAGCGACGGGGCTTCTCAAAGGTCGGCAGTCCCTTGACGTGCCACCTGCCCGCCGCCCCGCGACGCCCGCGACGCCCCCCGACGCCTACACCCGAAGCCTTGGGGCGACTTAGGCCCAAGTGGGGGCTGCTCTGGCTCAGCGCGCGGACATCACTGCAGCAAAAGTGTGTCAAGATCCGCACAAAATCAAGCCTTCTCTACGCCAAATCCATGTCAAAGGCGGGAGTCGCCGAAAACTTGGCAGTGGCCCTGCTGCAATTCCTCCAGCGACTGCGCTCACAGCAGATCAGCTCCAGACCATCGTGCAGCTCCATGAAGAGCAGCGGCAAGAGACTGATTCCGAGCAGCGGTTTCGTCGCCTCTCTGTCTCTCTCTCTCGCACTCGCGGGGCGTTCCGAAGGGGTGCGAGAGAGAGAGAAAAACAGCGACCGAGCTGTTGTTGGCCGCGTTCCCGCGACACCGCACCCCTTGGAAGCGCGCCTGGCCGCGCCTTTGGAAAGGGGGGGGGGGGGGGGGGGGCAAAGAAAGCAAGACGTACGGCCGCGACTCCAGCCTCGCCGCTCTGTCTCTCTCGCACTCACGGGCCCTTCCTTGGGGTGCGAGAGAGACAGAGCGGCCTCTTTTCCGGGGCGCTCGCTCCTCTCCAGCGCCGCTCCAGCGACCACTGCGGTCCAAAAGCAGCCCAAAATTTAAATTTCCCAGTGGCGCGGCGCCGCGCAAAGACCAAGAAGAGGCATTACAAGTCGCGGCGACGGCAAGGGTGGCAAGTCACGGGGTGCTGGAGATAGCGACCGGAAGAGAAAGAGAGAGAGAGAGAGAGAGAGAGAGAGAGAGAGAGAGAGAGAGAGAGAGAGAGAGAGAGAGAGAGAGAGAGAGAGAGAGAGCGAGGAGGAGGAGGAGAGAGGCGGAAAGGCAGGCGAGAGTAGGTGAGCGGGACAGGAGGGGAGGCATGGAAAGCGTGGCGAGGAGGGTGCGGCGCGCCCACCAAAAAGCCAAAAAGGGAATTTCCGCACCTTTCTCCTCCACGCCGACTGTCTGTCTCTCTCGCACCCATACGGGCCGCCGCAGGAGTGCGAGAGAGACAGAGCCAACGAGCCTGCTGGAGGCTCCAGCGGCAAGCTCGACAAACGGCTACAAAACGCGCGACGGGCGCGGCGGGCGGGGGGTCCTCCCGGCTGATTCCGAGAGTCGTTTTCGGCGCTCCGTCTCTCTCTCGGACTCAACGGGCGTCGCGTATAGGTGCGAGTGAGACAGTGACGGAAACGACTCTCCGCGGTAGAGAGGTGTGAAGAGACGCGAGGCAAGAGACAATCGGGATTAGAGAGGCGGGGGAGGGGGGAGGGGCGAGGCCGGCGAGAGGGAGGCAACGACCCTACCCGGGGCACCCGTGGGTGGCGGGGGTGGCGGCAGGGGCGGCGCGGGGAGGAAGCTCCACATAATCACCAGAAAATTACACACGGCCTACTACCGCCCCCAGGCAGGCCCGCCCAGGCCCAGCCAGCCCGCTACCGCCGCTGCAGCAGGGCGGCCGGCCGACGGGGGCGGCCTGGGCCTGGGCCTGGGCCTGGGCTCGCTTGGGGGCGGCCCGGCAGAGGCAGCCAGAGGCGGCCAGAGGCATAGTGGATCAATAGCGGGGGCGGCTGGTGCGTCTGGGGGCGGCGCGGCGCCGCACGGCGTGGCGTGGCACGCGGCGCGGCAGGGCGCGGCACGGCGCGGCACGGCGTGGCATCGCACTGACCCACTGAGAGCCCGGCTAAAGGCCCCGCCGGGCGGGGCGGGGGACTCCGAGGGTGCGGTGCGGTGTCACACGGCGCGTACCGCACAAGCGTTTACATTCCCCCCTCTTTAATTTTTGTTATTTATTTTTCCAGGCCAGGTTCGCCGGTTTCCCCTCCAGGCCTTTCACGGTGGGCTTCCTGGTAATTAATCATTATTGCTTCACCTGAGGGACTGCTTCGCGCTCGGCTGGCTGCCTACCCACCAGGCCACCCTTCATTTAACGCGCAGGGTGGGGCGGTGCTGCTACACTGTAGCAGCCACCGCTCGCAAAAAGGGACGCTACGCGCCTCCCGTACCGCACAGCGCACCCACAAAGCCGGCGGTAGTTTCTGAACAGCCAACATCGCGGCTAAAGTTAAAGCTAATGTAAAATGTGACATCTGCTAAAAACAACTTACGAGGGGTGTTCGCCGAAGCGGCGGGCAGCGTCGGGGTAGCGCCCCGTCAGCTCCACATACCTGCAACACACACACACACACAGACACACACCGTTAGAGCGACCAAAACGTGGAGTTGGTTACGTGATTCGCGCACGCGGCGGGGCGGGGCGAGTCCGGGATCGTGTTTGTGTTCTCGCTGCGCCGTGCACCCCGCGGAGGGAGGGAGGGAGGGAGGGAGGGATGCTGGGCGCACCCCCGCTGCGACGGGCCGGACGGACGACGGGGCCCTGGCTGCCTGCCTGGCTGCCCGCCTGCTGACGGCCCTGGCAGGCAGGCAGGCAGGCACACGCAAAAAGAGAAGTAAGGCTGTGGCAGGGTCCCACAAAGGACAGTGTCCCGCCATTCGCACCGTGACAATCAGCCGACAATCGATTAATTTAAAAGTAATCGCGATTATTTAGCTAATCGAAGTGCATTTCGCCAAGTCCAGATCCGATTAATTGATCAATCGTTTTCGACTGGCGATAACCAAACCAAATAATCCAAACAAATCGCGATTATTTCAAATCGAGCGACTCCGATTAACACCAATAGGCCCAAGCTCTGTGCGCGCGCCGAGCACGGTGTGGCACCCATTCACCTGGGGCTCCATTCATCACTCCGTGCCATTGCCGCCACGGCCGCCCCCGGTCACTCCACCGCCACCGCCCCGCGGCCCCACCCAGCACCGAGATAAGCCCGGCGCCAATAAAACGGACACAGCGACACACACTGTTTGCCGCTGGCTTTTGTTCTTTTCCTTTTTTCCAGTGGTCGCGCGTGCCGCGAGGGTGTCGGCCGGCCGGCCGGATCGCGAGGCGCGTCCGACACCGGACTCCGCGGCGGGGAGGGCGAGGGACCCTCCACGGGGAAGAGGAGGAGCATGCGGTGCGCCAGGAATGCGCGGCCGCCACCGCAGAGGACGGCGTCGAGGACGGCGTCGAGGACGGCGTCGGCCGGGAGAAGCCCCTGCCGGGTGGGTCGGCCCGTCGAACACGCGTGTCGTCGGGTTGCCTACCCCGCCCATTCGGTCCCTCGCTCCGTCTCTTTCGCACCTGTTCGGGGCGCCGCATGAGTGCGAGGGAGGTCGAGAGACCCCTGGTTCCGGCGGACACATCATCAGAACCCACCCTCGAACGTCTCGGGCCCTTTGGTCATCCAATGGCACTCACGCCAAACTCGTGAGGACACCCAAACGGACTCCGGTACCGCATATTCGAGTCCCTTTCGGGGTCGCCGACCTCAAAAAGTGTCTCCACTCCAGAGCCCGCCGAAACACTGCGCTGTGGCGGGCGGCTGGGCGGCGCACTGGGCGGGGCGCTGGGCGGGGTCGAACGCCGCCAGAAAGCCAGGCCGTTCATCTTGCAAAGCAGTGCACACACACAGACACAGAGAAAGACAGACGCACACTGGGGCCGCGCGCAAAACAATAGTAATTAACCCCAAATCCCCAGCAAACGGAAACATGCCACCGGAGGCAGGCGAGGGGGGCGCCGAGGGGGGCAGTGAGGGGGGTGGTAAGGGGGGGTAGAGCGACGAGCGCTTCCACGGAGGGCTTAAATCGAAGACCGCAGTCCGCCGCGGCTGCCGAGAAAAGGCCTGGAAGGCAAAGAGGAGGCCGGGTACACTGTCAGGGTAGTACAGTGCCGCAAGGACAGTCTAAGGGAGCCGTTAGAGTCGCCCAAAGGCTGTTAGTGGTACCGACGGGGCCGAGAGGGAGTTCTCTGTCGCACTCATGGGGCGTCTGGGGGAGCGACGGAGACAGACAGTCCGGCGCACCTGACACCGCGCCCCTCCGCGCCACTTCGCCGGCCCGGCCCAGCCGCTGAGTCGCCGATTAGGCCACCAGAGGGCGGTGGCGGCGGTAGCGCTGCCGGCCACAAGAGGGGCTCGTTACCCCGCGCTCCGTCTCTCTCGCTCTCACGCGCCGCACCCCGCAGTGCCCAAGAGAGAGAGAGACAGTCTGCGGTGTAACGGACAAGGGCCGGCATTAGGAAATTAGCCTCCCCATTCAGAGACGGTCCCCTTTTTAGATTTTACCTCGACCGCGCGCCGCTCGCCGAGCCACACACGGCCCCGGCCACAAAGAAAAGGAGAAAAGGGTCTTCCCCGACGGGAATCGAACCCCGGGCCGCCCCGGGCCCAGGCTAGCGGAGGGTCACTCTCATCACGGAACACACACACACACTAACTCAAAGACAGGCAGGGTCGGTCTCAGCATTCATTGCAAGCACGCCAGGCAAACCCGTCCGTAACACCTTAAAATTGCTCGCTGGCGGTCGAAATCCCAAACGCGTTTTGAGCTCTAGAGTCGCTAAATGGGGCTCGAACCAAACGTGTGACCCCACCAATGGATTGCTCTCTTAACGAGGAATCCATTGGTGGGGTCACACGCTTGGTTCGAGTCCCACTTTGCGACTCTAGAGCTCAAAACGCGTCTGGAGTTTTGGCCGCCGGCGCCCGTCTTCTGGCCCACTGTGCTGGGCGACACGCTGGGCCGGGTGCCGGGGTCAGGGCACTACTCTGCAATCCACTCGACAAGGGGTAGCGCCCCGCCGCCTCGCCTCGCTCGCGCGTAAGCTTCCGGGGGATTACCAGCACCCACCGATCCCCTCCCCCTCCCCCCTCCCCCGCGGCCAGATCCCCCGCAATAGCAAGCGGTCACGCTCCCAAGGAAAATATCCGTCACATAAAGGCGCCGTTTTAATCTGCACGGAGTACCAGTCGGATTAACTCGTTGCGCGGTCCGGCGGCGGGGAACAGATGGACAGTCAGAATCGCTGTCGCACAAAAAACGACAAAAGATAACAGTTTCCGGTCATTATGATAATGCCGAGTCAACGAGAAGGACGCCGTCAGAAGGACGCCGTCAGAAGGACGCCGTCAGAAGGACGCCGTCAGAAGGACGCCGTCAGAAGGACGCCGTCAGAAGGACGCCGTCAGAAGGACGCCGTCAGAAGGACGCCGTCAGAAGGACGCCGTCAGAAGGACGCCGTCAGAAGGACGCCGTCAAGACGCGCAAGCGCCGAGGCCTCGTGGACGGTCAGAAGACGTCAGAAGACGCGTCAAAACGTCGGGATCCTCAGGACCTCAATAGTTTCGCTCAGAGCGTCCACGCGCGCAATCACCGAGATGCCTCACAGTACCACGCTCCTGGTATTCCGAGCTCCGACCATTCAAAGCTCCATCTCCCCTCTCCTTCTCCACACATACACACGCACGCGAGAACAGAAAGCTGACGCCTGGGTGTTCGAACCCGGGGCCGCAGACGACGTCCTTACTGGAAGCTCGGCTGGAATCGCTCGTGAAAAACAAACGCGGTACCGAAACGACTGTCCTGTGCCACCGCAAGCTCGGCCAGCTCGGCGTGCTCGGCGTGCTCGGCGAGCTCCAGCAGCCACCGCCCCGCCAGACTGCCTTGTCAGCGCCGTCAGCGCCGGGGGGCGGCCGGCAGCGCAGGCAGGGGGTAGCGGGGGCCCACAATGCATCAGGGGCTGCATGCGGACAAGCCATGCGGCACAGGGCCGGCCCAGGGACCGAGGGGCCGGCCCTTCAGAGGACACCGCCCCAAACACGTCCAGCGCACACACACCGACCGACACACACACACCCACACAGACAGACACACAGGGCAGACAGACAGACTTGCAGGAAAAGTCTGGCGGCCAGGCGGACTGCCCAGCCCGAAGGGGAAACACGAAGAGTGCTACGGCGAGCGAGTAACTTGGGCGCCGGCAATCGAGTTCTTTGGGGAGTCCCTTGGATACGCGGAATCGGAACAGGACGCGGACGCAGCCCAGGGCGCTCTCTACTCTAGGCTGCGCTCAACGCCACGCTATTCCACACCGAAAAGCGAGTCATTTTAGAGGCTTCCGCATCATGACGGCAAAACCATCGCATCGCACCCCTTCGCGCGTCGCGTGAGGTTCTGAAAAACTGCGGGCAGGCCGGGGCAGACAGACAGAGCAGTAACACCAGGGCGCCGCCACGCCCCGCCCCGCCACGCCGAGGTCACAAAGTACGTCGAGGTGTCGCACGTCGCCCTGGCGCCGCGCCCCCCGCGAAGTCGCGTGGAGCTGTGGGGCGTGGCGGGGCGTGGTGGGGCGTGGCGGGGTGCGCAGCGGGGCCCCCAGCGGGGCTCGGGGCGGCCTGAGGCACTTTACGTAATGAAGCCGATACGCGGCCTCGCCTCTCTCTCTCTCTCTCTCTCTCTCTCAGCGGGAAGGCGCCGGCCGCCGCTTCCACCCTTCAACGCACGCCCCCGCCCGGACCTCGGCCGGAGCCCGACCGGAGCCCGACCGGAGCCCGACCGGAGCCCGACCGGAGAGCCAAGCGCTAGCCAAACCCTACCGGATACGCACCGGAAACCGGAGGTGCGTACGGGAGGAGGAGACGCGATCCTGCGTTCGCGAGCGAGCGAGCGAGAGCGAGAGAGAGCGAGAGAGAGCGAGAGACAGGCGACGTGCAAACATAAACCAATCAACGTGGATCCGCGCGCCTAGCCGGGAAGCTAGTAGGAGAAAATCAAAGGCAGCGAGGGACGGTCACACGTACGACACCAAGCGTGCGGCACGAAGAAACAACTCGACGGCCGAACGGTCAGCGCTACAGCCAGAACGCTACAACGCGGCAACGCGCGAGCAGAGGAAAATAGCACGCCACACGTGGCGAAAGGGACAAAAACACTCATGCACACACACACACACGGGCCGCGACAATTTACGACGCGTGTTATCGGCACGGCCGAGCGAGAGAGAGCGAGAGAGAGCGAGAGAGAGCGAGAGAGAGAGAGAGAAAGAGAGAGAAAGAGAGAGAGAAAGAGAGAGAGAGGCGGGCCATACGGGGTGGAACGGCCGGCGGGCGTCAGGGCGGGGAGACGGGGACACGAGACGCCAAGAGCCGAACAAGTGGGAATCCCTTCGCGGAGAGGTAGAGAAGGAAAGACGGGGCGGCGAAGGGAGAGAGACAAAGACGGAGTGAGCAAGGGCGGAAGAAAGTCGCGCGCGACGCGCTCCACACCGTTAGGTCCCCTCCGGGCA